GCTGAATATATTACCGCCGGAGAGACGGCCGCGGAATTTAAATGATCGCACAAAAGGGTTAAGAGTTTCAATAATCCCCTGAGCCACAGGTTGCAATAATGGTGTTATTTTTTGGTGGAGGAACATGACTTTAAATTTTTCATCTCGATGCTCTAAAAGTCCACTGCATGGGTGGGGATGGTGCACTGTCTACAATCAGCAATATTTTCTTTGTATTTTGCATTCCTTGGTTGTCATGACTTGATTATTTGTCATTTTGGACAATCGGGATTTGGATAATTGACATTCTATTGAACTATCCCTGATTTAAAAATATGGCCACAGGTCTTGTAGTGCTCTAGTGATGGGGATTTTTAATCCCCTATTCCCAGATTACATTGGTTAATTCAGCAAGTCAAAACTAGTCCTGTCTAGCATACATAATGATACTTGAATCCCAAAAGGGCCTCAGAGAAGCAAATGTGTAACTTGTATTGCCGAATGACTCGTCCATTACTATGTAGCAAAATGGATAAAATAAATAAAAATACAAATACAAAAGGCAGTTTATCTCTATCAAACACCAACAACAAAGGACTGGGCATAAATAGCATACCTACTGGCCAAGATTGGAGCTGAACCAGCCTATAGCATCTCTAAAAGAGTTGCCAGAAAGACAATCAGAGACTGGACAAACGTGAAGCACAAGAAATACTGGGGATCCTTGACTGGACTCAGGCAAGCAAAGGGACTCATATGAGGACCCTCTACTAAAAGAGCAAAGGAACTGTTGAAGTTAAACAGGAACCAGCTATGATGGGTGGTAGGACTACTAACAGGACACTGTCACCTCAAAGGACACCTCTTCAAATTGGGACTAAGTAACAAAGAAAACGAAACAGCCACACATATCCTGTGTGAATGTGAGGCCTTAGCCTATTTAAGATTGGGCCACTTTGGTCAATATTTTATGGAACAAAGTGACTATTTCGACGTCCCCATGTACAAAATCCTATGCTTCAGTCAAAGCACAGGATTGTTGAGGGGATGATAAGAAGGGGAGGTGCAACAGATCACTGTAGTTGCGGTGCAAGGGCCAAGAAGGCCCACCCCTTATGCATTCATTCATTCATTCAAGTATTGAGCTTATTTCTAAAATTTAATGGCACTCATGGCTGAAGACATCCAGGATCAAACTAAACTGTAGCATTAAGACAAAAATGATAACTTCAGATGTTCTCAAATACTTTCTCAAGTCTTCTGAGATGTGATGCCTTATACTTTGGTGGATAGACACTAATGTTTTTAATGGATCTGCTACCTTCCTCTCCACTCTTCTACCCCAAACATGAAGACTGACAGTTCCTCCAAAATGTTGGTAACAATCTGCCAACTACAGTGTTACCTCCCAGAAAACCATAACCTCACCAGTCACTGCTGTGAGAATATCAATCTCACTGTTCTTGCCACTGTGTTTTACAAGCTTGATCTGATTCTGTAATTCTCTGTCCCCAAAGTCTGTGAAGAGATCTTCTCTGTCTACTGTGCCAAACAGATCAAGTTTCGCAGTTTGGCTGATGATTAAGGAAGCAGAGCCAGATTCCACAGAAAGAAAAAGCCCGAAATATATGCAAGTTTAATAACTTACCTTCATCACAAATATTCAGACTTATCCTGGAAATAATTGTTGCACAAAAAATATATAAATATCTCAAGTTCTACTTACACAGATTAACTCTTGGCATGGAAAGCGAATGCCATATAATTCTTAGATTTGTTATCACCAGCCGACCTTTATCACCACCATTTCCTTTTGTATCTTCAACAGAATCCAGTCTATCCAGTATTTTTTCTCCAGGTCTCATTTTCATTTGACTGTGAAAAAGTGATTAACAATAACATTCATGCAAATAACTGGGACAAAACATGTACAAGTACATACTTTCCACTACCAGTTGGTCTCATTTCATTTATTTAAAGACACTACCACTGGCTCCGATTAAAAAGCCTACAATGGTGGGCTGACTAGTGGTCAGTAACATTAACATGTAACGCTGCAAGTGTTGAGTAGTGTCGTGGTTGTGATATGATATACGAGTACTACATAATAAAGCCTCATTTTTAAACTGAAACTTTCAGAATGAAATACTTACTAAAAAGGAATGTCAAATCTAACTTCCTTATCTTCCCACAGCGACTCGGACATTTTTACACTTTCGTTACGGTGCCTTTGAAGTCCACTCTCTAGAGACGACAAACTTGTTTCAGAAACCGATATCAAAGCCATGAACAAAATCATCCACCATTTTAATTTTTCTTGGCATGCACAATTAACTGGTGCGTTTGGGCTCTTTCGAATTCGAACACCCCTATAAACCTATAAAACCCTATAAAACTCCCATGGCCGCCATGACACTACGGTGCAATGCTGCTGCCATCTCTACGCATCATACATTAACCAAATTTAAAATGGCCGACAGGGCCGGGAGCACAATTGGTAAGAAGATATGCTAACATAGCAACTATTTTGAGTGCTCCCCCCCCCCATCTCCCCAAGGATTTGTTCGCTAGCCCTTTCGCGCGGTCATTTAAATTCCGCGGCCGTCTCTCCGNCAAACCTATTTCTATTTTTGAACTGTGTTCAATATCACTAGTCAAGGAGAATGAGGTTGGCAGGCTTGTAGGTCGAATGGGGGAGGCTAGGAATGCATATAGGATATTGGTGGGAAAGCCAGAAGGAAAGAGACTACTGGGAAGACCAAGGTGTAGGTGGGTGAACAATATTAAAATGTATCCTAAAGATATAGGATGGTATGGTATGGACTGGAATGATCTGGCTCAGGATAGGGACCAGTGGAGGGCTCTTGTGAACACAGTAATGAACTTTCAGGTTCCATAAAAGGCTGGAAAATTCTTGAGTGGCTGCACAATTGGCGGGTTCTCAAGAAGTGCTCAGCTCCATAAGTAAGTCCAATATCACTTCACCCATATCCTTTGGGTTGGATTTGAGTGAAATGATTTCGAAATGTACGAACTTGTCTACTTTATACCGATACGATGCGAAATCAATATCTGACAGTCTTCACGATCTTCACCCAGCTACCAATTATTTAATTCATGTTAACATTGCAAAACTCGATTGAAATGCTATTTCATAGCCTCCTCACTGTTCTCGGATTCAGAGGGTATCAAAGTTTATAAACAAGACAGTAAAAGAATACATATCCCTAGTATTTTCTAAGCAATTTACTCAGAACCCCTTGTAATTAACTGAGTTCCTGAAGGGATAAATGTATAATTATATATAATACAGTACAAGATTAAACTCGTATGATGAGAAGCACACAGTAACTAAGCTTAATGCATGCCCATTCTTTACAAAACCATAACCTGTTCATTCACTTTTTGTTATCAATTAGACGGATTAGACTGTGCTGGACTGTGCAATTATCCATGATTGGATTTGTCTGCTGTGTTGATGAATCTGAGCTGATCAGCTGTTAATAAACTATATGCTAAAATGCCTGTTGAGGATTTAAGAGCAGAGGATAATATTTTGTATGCATTTAGGTTGAAAACACGTAGAAACATTTGAAATGATGAACTATGCATTGCAATATGATTGTGTATCTAGCAATTATTTCTAAATTATCTAATCACTGGAAGAAAATCCAAAAATACCTTTCCTCTAACATCCAACATATTTTCTTCCATGCATACACAGTTTCATGATGTGTCCCAAGGTTACGTGAGAATAGAGTTCCAAAAAAAATCATATCAAGTGTAACAGTCCAAACCTTTTTAATACTCTTTAATGGACGCTATGTTCCTCTTCAGCCATTTCAACAGAGTGACTGATTTATAAGGGAGACCCATCCATTAAGAAGTTATGACATGCTTTTCGCATTTAGACAGGAACAACTGCCTTGTTTTGTTACCTACAGCTTGGGTGACCGCTAAAGGGTCGAGGCCCATTATGAAAAGACATGTCTGTAGTTTGCCGAAGATGTAAATGTTGTTTTGCTAATAGGGTAGCTGTTATTAAAGTGTCTTCGGAAGGGTGTAATTAGACCCTAAACTAAGACATATCCGGTTCAATATCTTTGGATCTCTTTATTCTAAAAGTTAGTAATGTGATTGTCTAGTACTGATGGTATGATGAATTGGCAGTTAAAATCAGCCATTAGGAAACTATTCTTGTCTGGGAGAAAGGCCGTCGGTTCAGATCCTATACAGTGATGAAGTGACGCTCCCGCAGAATAGAGTGGGAGAAGGACTTGGCACTTAGAATTCACCAGAGGCAGACGTCATTGAGCTGGTCTCTCCAAGTTTATCTAAATTTAACATTCTTTATTTGGTTCGATTAATCTTTGATAATAATGAAGGGGCACATTACTCCGTACTTGCCAATAAAGATATAGTGTTTGTTTCTGAAATAAACAATTTGTGATTAAGCAGAAAATAGAGTATTTTATTTCCATCAGTGGACTAGCTTTAAATGTGTAGTCTCATCGTTGCCCCAGTTATTACCGTGACACAACCCTGAGAATAGTCAAAAGTGTTCTACCAAAGCGGGCAAATAGAAGAGTCAAAGGTGTTCTACTGAAGCGGGCAAATAAATAAACATAAAGATAGATAGGCAACGGTCACAAGAAGTGGCGCCCAACGGTTGCGAGAAGTGACAGCCGAAGTGCGGTTGTACAAGTGACAACTTGCCGTCATTTTAAAGAAACCCTTTGTCTCTAGCCACTGTTTCTGGGCTGCTTTGTTCAGTTTTATTTCAGCAGTACGAAGACTAGTAGTACAGGAGCACCAAGGTTGTCAGCGGAATTACCTTATCTCAAAAAACCCAAGCCTTCGTATGTGCCAGGACAGTAAAATTACTTATGGAATATAAATTATATTGTTTTTCTGTACATACTTGGCATCACTGTCTACCACGAATTAATTTATATCATGTACTAAGAGATGAAGGTATATCTGGCGGGAACTACTCCTATATGCCGTGAGGTCAGCTTTACAACATGCTGAATGAAAACCCACTTCCATATTCCCAGAAATCGATTTTTTGGATTGGTTCATTGTTGATCCACCGAGTTTGTCAGCAATAATTCCAAAGTTTTTCGTTAAGTGTTGGGCCTGATACTACTCAATATTATATCTGTGGTAACTAAAAGCAATGTGGAATAAATGTACTGATATGCAGAGAGAGCAGAATAAGACAATAAATACATTTTACTGGAATTCCTTCTTTGCCCTATCCTCTGTACAAGCTGCAGAAAATAATCCTGTGATATTTATCTGTATTTACCTCTAGTCTAGCCATTCTGTTCACATGCACACTGGTAGCAATAACATCAGAAGCAACAAGTACTTTGTGCTGGCTAATACATTAATGTATTAATTTTCTTGTTGACAGACAACGGTTGTAATAAAGGGGTTGTACAATAAATGTAAGTACACAGTATTCATCACAGTTTGGTTTTGTATTATGAAACAAGTGCAAGTAAAAGGAAAGTAAAGTAAAGCTATCCCTGTACCAGGCAGTGAAGGCTCATAGGGTTGTGAGACGTTGAGGGTCCCACATTATCTAGACAGTCTGCTCAAAGATGGCGGTAAGGTCGTCAGCCTTACATGCCAGCCACGCTTTACTCCCCAGGAAATTTATTTAATTAATTCCTGGTACTCATTTATGTTAGAGGCTGAGTGAACCCCAGGAATTAATTAAATAATTTTCCTGGGAGTAAAGCGAGGTTGGCACGTAGGCCGACAACCTTACCGCCATCTTTGAGCAGACTGTCTAGATAATGTGGGACTCTCAATGTCTCAAAACGCTATGGACCATATGGGCCTTCACAGCCTGTTACAGATATAACTTTACTTTTTTATGAAACAAGTGTAATATAAAATAAATTAAAATTAATCTTACATCAGTAACTCCTGAATCCAACGTGAAATTTCAATATCAGATTCTGTATTTGTACAATGTAACTCATTTGTATTTTCAACTTGATTACCTTCAATACTGCATTGGGCTTCCAACATTGAAAGTTTGTTGCTGGAATCAGTGTTGGATGTGTTTGGAGTTGAAGGATCAGGGTATGCATGGTTAGTCAGTGACGGTAATGCTTTATTATTCCGTCGATGTTTCTTCATGCCCTTTGAGAATCCTTTTGTCTTTGACCTGTTATCCTTTTTAGAGTATCTCCCCCGATTTTCTTGTGGCATTAAAGGTTTTTCAAAAGTGAAGCCAGCAAATTTCTCTCTCTTAATATGTGCAAATGATATATGTGACTTTAAACTGCTACTTGTTTTATCAATGACTGTTTCTTTTCTAATCAATTTGTTCTTCTGGGTATCGCATAATTTTGAACTATTTTGCTGGGAATATGATCCTGGAGGTAAAGCAGGTATTTCTGTACTTTTATTCTGATCTGCTTGGGATATAGTGATGTCATCTTTTGACCTCTTCTGAGTAGCTGCTGCTAAAGATACTGAAGAAAGAGGCTTTTTACTGTTTGCTGCTGAGGCAATGGTAATCTCTGGCCCACTTAGTCTTTCTGAATTTGTAACATCAACCTGATTTTTCCCATTAGTGACAGAACTATACTTTAAGTCATCTATTTTCAAGTCATTCTTCATCTTCTTCCTTGCCCTGCTCCAAGAACACAGCTCATTCTTTTGTAAATCAGTTCTGCTTCTAGTTTCCACTTGTTCCACATCTGAACCAACTGCAGAAAGCTGAGGACAATCCATCCCTACAGAATTCCTCCTTGCGATTGCCGTTTGTCTACCTTTAGTTGTGTGGGTCGGCTTCTGTAAAGGATTCACATCAGAATCTGTTGTTTTTGTACAGTGCATCAAATGTACATTACTTGAATTTATGTTAACAGGAACATTAGGAATACAATTTGTCACTGTGCATGTATTCTCTTCTGCACTTAACTTATTTTTCTTTATCAGCATCCCTAACATCACTGCCTGATCTGTTCCTTGAATGCCTTCATTTATTGAATGCAATTGGCTTGTGCTTGTATTATCATTTTTTACTCTTAACATATTTTCTGTCATATATGGATGACTTGTCTCCAGTGCTTTAAATGATGCTTCCTTTGTTTCAGTGCCAGAGACCATACTTTCCATGTCACAAGACATAACTGTTACATTTTGTCCAACAGGTATGTCATTTAATGCCAAATTCAAAATGTCAACAGTCAAGTCTCCAATATCTGTTTCAGAAAGGAGCTGACTCACATCATGAATGCCAGCTGTCACTGGAAATGAATGTTCTGTGATAACTGGACAATCTGTCCCAACATTCAACTGATCAGTCACATTCTGATCCTTCATGCTGAAGGCTGAGGGGGCTAGTCCTTCTCTCACTGCAGAAGCTGTCAACCCAGGTATACTAACTTCTACAGCTATATCACCCATACTTCTTCCACTGACAGTATCATCAACAGTTGAAAAGGAATGTGATGTTTCATCATGACTTGGTAATTTAAACGATTCTTCTTGTGAAGTTGAAATAAAGTGTTCATCTTTTACTTTGGAGTACGAGTGATCCTGTACCTCTCTCACTGTGTAGGGTGTCACCCCAGGTGTACAAACTTCAGAAGTCATAAGAGCTGTCCTGTTTTCAGTTTCAGTTCTATTATCATTTGTCATGGAATGTAAAATTTCAGTATGACTCAGCTGTCCACATGATTCTTCTTGTGAAGTCAAAATAGCTGTCTTTAAATTAGAAGTTTCATCAGCTCTGACTTTCCTTTTTGTGAAAGGCTGTGAAGGGATTTCTCCACTAACTGTTCCTTGACCAGCATGCACTACTGAATCATCTGTAACTACAGTTTCAGAAGCCACTGAATGCTGTGAAATATTTAGATCTTGCATGGTCCTTGTTGCAGGAGATGTAGATCTGTTGAGTGTTGGGTGCCCTGCAGCAGTACTGCCACTATGTTCTGATTCACCACACAGTAAAGTCAAAGCCAATTCCTGACTATAATTTCCATTAGTTATATGCCTGTCCACAGTATCCTCCAAATAGCTACTTGCCTCTGACCACTTAGTACAAATATCTGTGGATCCTGACTGACATGATTCAGTCATCACCAAGTTATCTTTATCTTCCCCGATGTCTGCAAACAACTCTTTCAGTTGAACTTCTGATATCACATCATTTCCTACTGTTCCTTCAGCTTGTGGAACAAAACTATCTACTGTTAATCCACTGTTCAGTTTCTTTAAGTCATCACCTACTGATAATGCACTGTTCAATTTCTTCATGTCACTGTCTGCTGATAATCCATTGTTGAGTTTTGTCACATCACTGTCTATTGATAATACATTCTCACCGTTAACAATAACTGTGTCTTCTTCGAGGCTTCTAAATAAACTTTCCAAATCTGGAATAAAACTGTCCCAATCTTTCATATTTTCATTATAAAAGTCATAAGAATCTAATGGATCAATGAAGTCAGAGATATTTTCATTTCCTTTTGTTGATACTGACTGGATTGTACTTGGCAAGTTTGCATCCTTAACTGGTTCAGTTTCAATCTCATTCACTTCTGGTAAAGAGTGGAATGGAACTGAAAAGATAAAACCAAAAAAGATGCATTGAAATATCTTCAGTTATAGAGTACTCATAACTGATGCAGTGTACAGAAGAAATGAATACAACTCCTTTGTATGGAGCTTTTGTGGTCTATACATGTCACCCTGTATTATCAGGAGATTGCAGTGGCCTGGACAAAGGGCTTAGATTAGGGCGACAAGAAATGTACAGAACATTTTGTGCGATATTTCTTGAAAATCACCACTTGGATAACTAAGAAGATAAGATGGGTATAGTGAAACTGTATTATATTTAAGTATCCTGTTGCACTCTACACTTCTATATGTACAATATAAATACCATCATAAATGCAACAGTTTATTGTAGTTCTTTGTCTTTCTTCTTTCACACTACATATTTCAGCCTTAACTGGCCATCATTAGGTGTATTCCACTTACGTAGCTGTCACACTGCATGTAATTTAAAATCTAAAAACACCAGCTTTCTCAATTGTCATTGCTGCGTTTCAATTGGTCCCGATATACCAGAATCTCCTTGTTGATTTTGTCAGTTACGTTTAAATCTCTGTTAATATACACTCGTTGATTTAATTTTTTTTTTTAATCACAGGGATACCTGCTCTATGTCTACATGTGCTGCAGCAGCTACTTCTTGCTTTCAGCACCGTTCACGTATTATTCTGCGCAGGTTCCCTGTGTGTATGCCGATAAAAACAGCAATGAATCAACACAAAACCACAAAGGAATTGTTTGAAATGGTGTTTCCTATGTGGTCCATGCCAAGGTTTTATAGTGAGGATGAACAAGGCAAGCTATAATGAGCTGTGAGATGATCACCAGCCAGCAAGGACATGAGTGCGGAAGCTGAAGAATCTCCATTCTTGGCAGCAAGTTACCAAGCAATGGTTAGTAAGGACACAGAAGCCTTAATGGTTGCAGTAGTGATCTGCAAAGTGTGTAGATTAGTGACAGCATTATAATCATTTGTAGTTACAAGTTATAAATGTTCAATAAATCCAATTATCAACCCAAACCACATGTCTAGTCACAAACACATGACAGTATTTTAGGGAGAAGGTGAGGCATGAGGAAGAGATAAAGCTGAAGAAGGCAGAGTAATGTACTATTCTACAGGGTGATTCATATAGAACCAGCCCAATGAAATGAGCTGTAATATAAAATATACCATACAGACATTAAAGTAATTTACACATATCTCATCTTGGATTGTGTGCCGTGATCAGAGCAGGTGCTGAAAGTGTCCGCCGTTTTCAAATAGGCATTGGAAACACTCACTGTTCAACAGTGTACTCCATGACTGTTGCCTGTGCACAGCAGACACGTTTTGGAATTGTCCTTGACTTGCAGCATAAGGGCTGCCACTTGCCAGATCATACGCACACCATTCGACTCAGCACTGCCCATGGATTATTATGTCGTAATTGTGAGTGGTTATATGCATCACCTGCGGAATTATTAGCAAATTCATTGCGCCGGTTCTATATGATTCACCCTATATAACAGGTGTGAATATGTAAAATCAACTGCACTGACTCAGGATATATTCTAGTGGCAATTTTTGATGATGGACTTTCAGGGTCTGTAGATGGACTTTCAGGGTCTGTAAAAGCAAGGGATTTACTGATCAGCTAAATAATTCTCAACCAATGGAGGAGGATCCAGTACCAAGCTCTTAGTTTCTAATTCATCATAAATTCAAATGAAACATGTTGCTGCCATCTTCCCTCAGGGCTGAAGTGAGTGAGCTGACCACAGCCTCACACCATGCACTTCAATCATGATGATGGAAGGAGCATGTTTCTCCAAAATGTTAGTATCCACCTACAGGAGAACACAGAGTCTCACCTCAGAAGANCCAAAATACGGAAATTCCCGTCATTTTTTGAACACACCTCGTATAACTAGCAATGAAACGCAAGGTGAACAGTTAAAAGAGTACCTCCTGGCTCTTGCTCTTCAAGAGATTCCACATCCAATTTGATGCCATCATCAAGATCCATGTCCATGAAATTCCGCTTTATCAGCGTATCAGTATATGCCAATGCAAATGGATAGGTACACTGGAAATACAAACACGACATTAAAATACTGTATAAATTCTGACCCTGACTAGCTTCACAAAAGCTGAACTTTACAGTCTCTTCCCGCCAGAATTCATTCAAATATGGCACTATGCTAAAAGCCGGAAGGTCATGGGATCAAATCCCGATGAGGTGAATTTTTTCAATTTACCTAATCCTTCCAGCTGCTTTATGGCCCTGGGGTCAACTCAGCCTCTAACAGAAAGGAGTACCAGGAATATTCCTGGGAGTAAAGGGCCGCCAACATGTATGGCTGACAACCTTACCGCCACCTGTGAGCCGATTGTCTAGAAAATGTTGGAGACTCAACATCTCACAACTCTATGGGCCTACACAGCCTGTTAAAGGGCTTTATTTTTTACTTTTTTTTTATCATATGTATGAAAACATGTGAATGATACAGGTATGATACACATCAGGATTGTATGTCTACACTTACAGTAGCTTCTGCACACATTCTGGCAACTTCTGTGAGATTCATCTGAAAATATTTCAGCTCAGACTTTCTGCCCTTGGAGAGGCAAAGGGGGCAGAGATCTGACATCTGGAAGGAAAATATTTGCTTGTAAGAATTACTGATGAATTACAATATGTTGACACTACACAGTTGGCACCATAATTAAATAAACATAAAATAATGATTATAAGAGTTATGGATGGAATGCTGGGGTCTGCTGGCTAGGCAATTGAGATTTTTAAGAGCCGGGATAGTGTAGTCTGTATAGCAACTGGCTACGGGCTGGAAGACTGAGGGGACAGAGTTGGAGTCCTGGTAGAATCAAGAATTTCTCTCTTCCATGTCATCCAGACCAGATTTGGGGTACTCAATGGGTACCAGAGACCTCCTTCCCTGGGGGTAAAGCAACTGACCACTCACCTCCATCCAGCACTGAGGTCAAGAAAATGTCGATCTATACATCCATTCCCCACACATCTTCATGGCATAGTGCTTAATTAGTTAAGCACAGGGACAACATCACCTTACACCTCAATATTACATATATGTCAGCAATCAGCTTCATGCTCTAGTATTCTTCACCCCTCCCACAGAAAGATTACATGCTGTGTGGATCTCAGAGCTATATTAAACATGGAAGTAAAGAGAGAATTCCCGATATCCTTGCTGGGAATCTAGTATGCCTCAGATATCAGTTCCACAGCCATGCTCTATGCTGAATGAACTATATTATTATAAAGAAATTAAAAAGGAGTGCACAGTAGTTATTGCTCATGTTCAGTAGGTCTCCTGTTGTAATAGCATGGCTCATCTGCAGGTTGCAAATGGAGATGTCTATCGCAAGGCAGGCTAGAAAGCTGTGGAATCCTGACAAAGGGTAGTGGTCCAGATTACACACTGGACAACAGTGCTGACAATCCCTCACTCTAAAATAAATAGCATGTTATAAAATGTCACAGAGTAGGTTATTATACCTTTTCCTCATTGCAAGGTATTTAATCATTTATGGGGTAATCTACAGCAGTGGATAACCTTCACACAGATAATCTGGGCACAATTAACTGACAGATAGTTACTCTGAAAAACTGACTTTCATGTTTCAGAGATGGTACATTTATACATCTTTGGAGTCTTTGGGAACATTTCCTTCTTTGATTATAAACCATGAGTTAGGAGACATGGGAGGAAGCAGCCATGGCCTACAGTTCTAGCACCTACCTGGAGGGTCTAATAGAGTAAGTGGCCCTGGAAACAGGTACAAGAGAGGTGGACAAAATAACGTCCATAAAAAATTCAATCCGGCCTGTGACAATGTTCATATATTATGCATAAAATGGCCCTTTTGTCACTTTATATTGCCTCACAGAAATAACAACGGGTTGCCACTTAAAATGTGGTTAGAACAAGGACACTGAGAGGACATTAAAATTAAAACCTGTAAGGAAAGAAACCTATGGATCACTTGGGAAGATGGTTCAGTCTGGTATTATAAGGCATCAAGAAGACAGGGCAGAACTGGCAAGAAATCAAAAGGGGAATACCTATGACAAAGGAAAAGGTTGGAGACTATTTGTTCACTGATCTATATAAAATATAAATGATGCCAGAAGAACAAGAAAGAGACAAAGTAATGTTTTACATAAGGCATTGTCATTCATGAGCACAAATTATAAAAATTCGGGTATTAATGGAAATGCAGCTCCTTCGGTTCCTAGTATACATATTTACCATTTTCATTTATTATGCCTACAACTGGAAGTAAAGTCGAGCAAGGCCCTTTCAGAATTTAACACGGCCTAACACCTTTGGAAGGCTAATCAGAAATTACGGTATTGTGTCCAAGTCAATTATTAATTATATTAGTTAAGAGATGGGGCAGATTCCCTAGAATACGAGGCTGTGATAATACGAAAACCAACAACCTGACTTGCCCTTTGAACCTAACCTTATTTAGATTTTACGTCATACTTTTAAGCAACACATTCTAGACTACATAATTCCGATTTCAGTAATGAAAACGAAAACAAATTACCTTATGTGAACATTCTTTGGCGGTAAAATTTTCACAACTTCGTCCTACTGTCACCTTCTGCATATCCCTACACTGAAACCATCCTAACATAACCTTCGTCCCGTTTCCCAAACCGTTCTCTTCTGTTACGTTCCACCTGCGTTCCACATTGTTCCACATCTCTTTGTCTGGTTCAGTGATTTGATGCGCCATGCAGTCGCGTAACTATAATCACTATAATAACTAGGAATAGAACGATAACGATATATCGTGCTGTAGATGGTCCGTACTCGAAATGACAAATGACATAATTATTGAAATTTAATTTTGGTCATGGTAGTGGTACAAAGAATTTTGCTTTCGTTATGGGATTCATCTTCTGTTGAAATGATAAAGTTTTCCTGGTGCCTAGGGATGTAATAAGGGCACACAGGGGAGTTGGAAGTAAACTCCATGCATTCTTAACCTCTATATTCTATGAAATGTTATTAGTTTCAAGCTCCAGCCATACTGCCAGCGCCAGCAGGGAGAGAGAAGCAAACATCCATTGCATAGAATATGATCCAGTGCACGTCTGGTACCAAAGAGAAAAAGACAATGCCAACTCCTCACAGAATCGAACCAAATGTTACTGAGCTATCCTGACTGTTATAGCGGAAATATAAAATTAGCCCTGTGCTCATAGCACCTTACCATGAGATGTGTGAGGCTGTGGAGAAAAAGGTTCCATGCAGGCATAGTTTGGGCACAAGACACAATATTTATAGTCTGACCACCATACTCCTGGTACTCACTGCATTGAAGCTTTGAATGCCTTCGCAGCCAGTCCATGTGGTGGTGAGGTGTATGTTTCAATATCTATGCCAGGAAGCATTGGCTGTCTGGTTTATTATTATTTATTACTACTACCATCAATATTTTTGTCCTTTAATCTTTGAGACACAGCAGTGGTCCAAGCTTTAACACTAATTTGTATTCAGAAGGTGCCTGGTTTGAATCTCAGCTGGGACACAGAATTCTTAGGGTTCTATGATTTTCTCCAGTTCTTCTAGGCAAAGGCTTCCTTCCATGTCATTTCCAATTCATTATTCAATAATAATTCTAAGACTTAACACTATGTCATTGGAGCCACTGACAGTGTCATTAAATAAACCATAAATACCTAATTTGCAAGGGATTCTACTGCCTGGAAATGTTATACAATAACAATATCACCACTATACTTCATATGGATCTCTTAATTTAATAACATTCCAGATTTCCTTAAGATTTGTTTTGATCTTAATTATGAAGACCCATCTTCATATTGGTGTAATAGAAAAACAAGGGACAGCAACTAAAATAAGTTTATATCAATATGAAATAATGCTATTATTTTTTTATAATTTCTTTAAGTACCCAAATCAAATGTCTTTAACGTTGAGGTACAGTACTTTCATTTTCTGGGCCAAATTGTCATGGTTACCCACATATTTCTTTCTAACAGATTAAATGTCTCCAAAATTTTCTTCCAATAAATGAAATGCTGATTTGTCAATACTTTCAAAGAAATATATAGTAATTTTGTGCTACTGAGAAATTACACAATATATTACTACTCTGAAATGGAGGTAGTACCTGTCTTCATAACATGGACAACCATCTGCCAGACTGTATGGTATGACACACCAAAAACCCTGCTTTAAATTATATGAAATTCTGATATGCTGAGTAGATATTATACTGAACAGTTTCTTACATATCATATAGATATATTAACTAATAACAACAAACATCCCCACAAGAAATGGCATATGTACAATGTCATTTGAAATGGGAAAGCACAAGGTATAGGAATCACAGAAGATATGAAAGAAAGCATCTTATTTCACATAGCTGAGGCCAAATGATGGACAAGAAGACATGACCAAGAAGGGATACACTTTTTGGAAACATCATAACCTGGCATGACAATGCAAGGGCCTTCAAATGAGGCACAGGTAAGACAGAAAGCAATGACTACTACTACAAATATTGTATGAGTGCTATGTTGCTTTTCCTGATTACACATACCATAAACTATGGCCTTGGGATTGACTCAGCCTCTAATAGAAATGAGCACCAGAAATTTTCCCAAGTATGGCCAGCATGTAAGGCTGACAACCTTAATGCCACCTGTGAGCCGACTGTATCCCTATAGGCCACCACGGACTGTTACAGCAATATACATACAATAGCCTAAACCAATACAGCTGAGAGAAACCTGGAGGAGACAGTGTGATGAGGTATACTGTTAGTACAAAATATCTATAATCTATGTAGGATTTGAGGTTTTCACAGTGGTGACTATGAGGAATGCTGTCTTCTGGGATGTGACGCCGTGTAGATGTAGTGTGAACCAACGATTCTAGTTCTGTAGCTCACAATACTCAATGCACAGAGAAGTACTGATCAATACTCTACAATCTATGTACATCATATTTTAAGTAGATCATTCAAATGGCAAAACTTTATTTTATTTTTTTAGTAAATAAAAATTAGAGTTTTAACAAACTCTTTTACACTCTGGGTCAAAATGCATGAAAATCAATTGAGACATCACAATCTGTATACTTCATCCTATCACACATAGAGTAATAATGCTTTCTTCTCTAATGTGCAACAACTCAAACAAAATTCTCTTGAATAATCTGCATTATACATATGAAACCAAAACTTGCAGACACTGGCAAACATTAGCTAATAATGGTTAAGCTGATGGTAAAGGTACAAATAGACTGATGATAGCCAATAGGCCAAAACATGTTTCAATAATAAAGCACTGTATATGAGTACAATTCAGGTGTATACAGTAGTTGCGCTGATAGAACTTTTATTACTGCTACTAGTTCTCAACATGGGAACATATGGGAAGAAGAAGGCAAGACAAGACATTATCATAATGGCTTACAGTGTCCCTGCCCTCGAACCTTCAATTGATATTTATGAACCTACTGTACTTGTATAGGCATCATGTGAGAAGCCACACAATCTTCATATTTTAAAATCCCCATCCCTCAACAATATCAACATGGCATCTGCACAACTTCCTAGTTGGTAGTGGCTTTGAATACGGAGCTCCAAAAGCAGATAAGTTCCATGTGATGAACCACTGTTACTTATGTGATTTTTGTGTAGAGATAGTTCATTAAGATGTATGTATGATGTATTGTTCTGTATGTTGAAGCCATGAGAAACTTTGTGGTTACATTGGATGAGCAGTAAGTCTTTTCTGTGTGCAGAAATAGGTTAAAGATTATGGCTTTCTGGGATGTGATGCATGTAATCTGATACACATTACCAACGTTTTGGAAGCATCTATTTACTGTCTCCATTCTCAGGGCAGAAATGATTAATATACTTTGCACATGTATAAGGGCAGAAGCATTTACAGTGGGTGTCATTTTTTTAATCATAGTAAAAAATAATATTAATGAATACTGAAATATTTTTAATGTTCACTTAAATAACTAGTATTTTTGTGTATACTGACATACACATACAATGTAAGTTCTGCCTTCGGGGATATCACGTCATATAATCTGATGAAAGTCAATCAATGTTTCAGAGCAATATGTCATCTCTATCTTCTGGTTCAAAGAACAAGCCAAGCAAGAAACTAGCCTGAAGCAGCAGGTGACGTGTTCTCCCGAATGTCAGTTCGCTTTCAGTACACTGCACAGAATTACGTCCCAAAAGACACAACTCCTCATAACCACCACTGCAAGTACCTCAAATCCTAGAGTTTTTTTTTTTTTGGCATTCTGGGATTAACAATATTGGACAGTGTTTAAACAGAATTTGAAAGGTACAAACTATAAATGCAAGAAATGTCAGTAGACAGTGACATACCATAATAAAGTGTAAAGAGGATATTTTATCTTATTTTTGTATCTTCTACTTTAATTGTAACACCAACTTGAGGCAAATTTTATGTTAGTACTTATATAATACGACACGTTCCACTGGTATGGATCCGTATTGATAGTTCAGTAACTATATTTATTCTTATATATAACTGCTTGATGGTCTTATACAACCGAAACATGTAGCAGGAATAAAAAGTCAAATTGCAAAACCTTAAAAAGTGAGTATATTTGTTGTGTTGACAGTTAACCTAATCCCTATATATATAAATAAATAAAGAGGATAATTCTGGCATAACAACATTGTTACTACAGCCCTGTCTGCCTCTGGCCTTCTGTGAATGGGTTTTGCAATCACTTTTTCTTACCTTCACAGAATTCCATCACCTACAACAAAACTTTGACAAACCAAATACCTATGTGATACACAGTTCCAGACAAAGATATCAGCTCTATGAACTGCCTGAATGCTGATATCTGACTATAGAATAACACTATGCAGTTATTGATTCTCCGCTCTAGAAAACTGAGATTAACGGCCATGAGGATCCAATGCGCTGACCATGCAACACCCTCTATCCGCAAAAGTTGGGACTAACTTCGCCGACAGGCGGCAGTTGGTTCGTTGGTATAGTTCGCTGGCAGACTACAGGCCACGGAGTTATTTAATTCTTCCAATTGAGTTCCAGTACGAAGTTATAAGAAGCAATCTAGTTGTATTTTTTTCTACTGAAATCAACTCAGAACCAGTAAATGTACTGCAAAAAATAAAAAAATTTCAAAATGCAGAGGTTTTTTATTACAAGATAATCAACTATAGGAAATACTGTAATGCACCTAATCTGTATGAGAGCACAATTAATTTCTTTTGTTGCTACTGGCCTATCTGTATACTGATCTTACAAGGGACCTTTTCAGGGCCTGCAGAGAAATTTACCATCACGAATGCTACATGTCAATATTGTTTTAATCCCCAGAAACTGCCCTGAAACATAGTTTACAATCCACTGTAAACTGACATTTCTTTGTTCCAAATATTTATCCCATTTTCAGATCCTTTACATACTTGTACCAATACCTAAGAATAAAATTCAAACTTCATGCTCATATTTATACATTACAGTACACCATCTTCTTTCAAGTATTAGATCTAGTTGGTCTGTTATAGACTTACAAGACAGAATGCTTCCAAGTCTCTGGAGGTCTATGTAAGAATCTTCTTCCTCTGGTTGGCACTTTTATATTTTTGGAGATCTTATTAGAAACAGAAGGGGTTAAAATTTTCCAATAGCCTCTCCAACTCACATTTTATTTTCAGTCTTCTTGTGATTTATCTTCTTTAAACTGATGACGATATGTGATTGGCATATCATAAGCGCTACAAGAAATGTAAAGCAGTCTTGCCAACCATCCAAATGGACTTGCCACTCTTAGCTAGAAACATATGGATGGAACAACAGACTGGACTGATCTTCCCACTTTAACTCAGAATGTACTGTAACCTTTTTCTTTTTAGAGAAAAAGAGAGAGCACTAATTGCAACTATGTCCCAGAACGTGAATCGAAAACTTCAATCCTGTTGCCCACAACACAAATTTTATTAATTAATTTGCAACACCCAATAAGGCACAAGCACATATACATTTGTGGTACTAATTTGCAAATTTTGCATCAACTTAAGAGAACATTCCACTGATGTAGGGAAAGAAATGAAACTTATAGTTCTTAATCACTAATTACAATGAAAGCCATTTTGTGGTCCACCACTTGCCCAGTCCAACTTCATGTTTTCATGTGATCACATTGTCACGTAAATTGATCTGCGGGCTGTACAACACTACGAACCCTAATAAATGGTTCTGTGGTCTATACAACAGCCTGAACCCTAAAATCAGTCTCAGTTCCATTACAGAAATATGTAAGAGTACATATGTATACATATATAAGTTCAACTCCTGCTGAAATACGCGCTCAGCAACATTAAGACGTGTGCCAGGAAGGTGCAGTGCATATATATAGTCACTGAATCAATATTTTACTATGTCTTCATTCTTGTAACTCGTAATTAAATATTTACAAGAGCCTTTACACTTGAAATACACACTATTCAATTTAACTTCTTAACTTAAGGCTAGATGTCTTCTTTTGATACACGTACATAAAACTTATTCTATCCCTACTGATTAAATATAGGTAAATAAATTTGAGGATAACATTATTACAAAGTAGCAGTTCTCAAGAGGCAACTATTTCTGATGCAAAGAAATGAAGGGTTGGGAGGAAGAAAGAATATTTCTGTTATAAATATTTCTTATTTACATAGCACTGCTTATATGTAGTTGATCCTACACAATAGTTAATTTGTCTAAGGAGGATATTACGTGTAAAAGCAAAGCATTAACAGACACATTCATGCATTATGATATTTGAATAATAATGCTAGAGGCAATGGAACAGTTATAAATCTACTGTCCTTGTTTGATTATATTGGTTGCATCATTAAAATTACAACATATTAGTTATAAGCATTTTTTCTCCTATCAATGAATTATTCCAAATACAATGAGGAGTTCTAACACTCCTCAGGATCCAACAGAGTGCATTCTTACATAATATTATTTTCTTATGTCAAGGTAAAACCCATGTCAGTAAACTTGCTAATTAAATTTTAAAGCAAAGGAAACACACCTAACCCTCTACGATTGACATAAATCATCATGGAGGACACCATTGTAAAATCTAACACCAACTTCAAAGCCTCCCACAAGTCTGCACAAGATGGTGTATGGCACCATGGAGGTGCTTAATGTTAGCTCCTAGTTTGGGAAGGCCTAACACATGAAAACATGAAGTTGAGATATGTGGTGGCAGAACTCCGAATGTCTTATTGCGTTGGGCACTCCGACAGCACTTTCAGTTCCTTCTCGTTGGTTGACACTGTTGCACAAGTTCATGACAATCAACCAACAAAGTCAAAGAGCCACAGTACCTTGCACCTGTCACTCCATTTGAGTGCAAGCGCGTGCCTCCTCCGTGTGCGCCGAGCCGACTGGCTGCGTTGTCCGTGAACACAGGAACACACCTACCTTGGGATCAATGCGTGCCAAAGACAAAGAACTAAAAATCAACGGAGGGTTTTGTACACTATTTCCAAATTTTGCCAAAAGATTGAGACTGTTTTCTAGTATATAAAAATATAAAAGTTCTCTTTTATTGAGCATTTCTTTGCACAACTTTACTGGCCCTGTACTGAATCAAATGTGGATAAAATTGTGACCAGGTGTGACAGCTTGAAAGCAAGATAGTTGACTCAGCACCACAACGCATTCTTACTGACTACTACGTTCGTGTAACGTATTGCACCACTGTTTGCTAAAATGATCAACTTCCTGTGTTCACTTCATTCACAACCTCAGCACATAGGACACACAGCGCACTTGCCGCTACAATTGGAACATTCATGACTATTCTCGGCTCACTATTATGCATATGACTCACTGATGACTTTATTCGAGTGACATGAAACCAAACACAGCTAAATGTACTGACTGGGGGTTAACCTGCATCTTCCCCACCTGCGGCATCACTTTCCGAGCATGGCTCTGCAGTACTTAGCGGCAATTCATCATTGCAAGGAGTACCGTCACTCTGAGGTTCCGCGACAGGTGGTGAATCGCAGTCCTTGGTGACACTGCCACTGCCATCACCACTACCATCACCCTGTTCATGCTGAGGCCCTTCTGCACACAGACTGAAGTTCTTTTCTTCAACACTTGTCTCCACTGATGAATCCTTTCCTCCATCGACAGGCACAGGTTCAGGAGCTGCTTCTGAGGTGGGGGAAGCATTGCTCCAACGAGACTTCCTGGTTCGGTCCCTCTCTCCCTTCACACTGGGTGTAGCTGGGGCCTCCTTCTCCTCCTCATCCTGTTTCCCACCTGTGTCCTCAGGCCTGCTGCCCCTCCTGGGGCCCATCTCTTCATCTCTCCTCCATGGACCTGGCCCATCCCTTTCTCCCCCTCGGAATCTTCCCTCATCACGGCTCCCTTGGGGTCCCCTTCTTGGCCCCCAGCCACGAGGATGCCTCCCTTCTTCCCTTGCTCGACGTTCCATGTCATCAAATGGTGGGCGCCCGAAGAAAGCATCTGGCGGTGGCCCGTCCACAGGTGGGCCTTCAAATCCCCGAGGGAACATGGGCGGTGGTCCCTGGCCATCCATCCAGATTCCTGAAAACAAACATAACAACGTGCATCATGCAAGAAACAAAAGCCAGACACTCCACCGCCCTCAGCCACCAAGTGGGAAGGTGAAGGCACAAGCCCGGTTCCATACGTGATTCAACCAACTCCTGATATACTACAAGTACATTTAGGTTACTTAAATCATTCTTACAGCTCAGAACAAAAGTTACAGCAAAAAATTAAGGATTCTTACTGAACATTTTAAAATATTGTATTATCTCAACTTAGTCACAGGCCCTGCCTGTAAGAAGTTCTGCATGCTTTTAATATAGGCACACTGGAGTATATGAAACTTGATTTCAATTTATTTAAAAATGCCAAAGCCACATTTTATTGCTAACAAGGAGGAGGACCTGTCCTTCCCCCATGATATTGTTGCTTTCCTTTTCGTTGTAGTAGCTAAAACTTCAAAGCAGGAGATACACAGAAATTAATATATAAAAACTTTGGTTTTAAGGTTTTCATGACGGTGTCCGTTCAAATTATACGCTTCTGGGTAACACCATGTAGTGTTGTAGGCGGATACTGAAATTTCAGTCAAAGACACTGCCTCCATCTTCAGGACTGCATCCTGGAGAGGCAACATTCTCCTCTAAAACACCAATATCCACCTAAAAGACCACACAATGTCACACTCCAGAATATGATAATCAGAAACTAAAATAATATTTGAATTGCATCCCAGAACTCGAAAAAATTCCTTGCAACTTGCTTTAACAATCATGGCTACTGTACATATTGTCAATAGTATGGAGTAAATTTCATATTGTCTTTGGATGTTCTCTATCTAGTGTGCGGTAAGAAACAGAAAAGTTACTCTGATAGTGTGTATCTTAATAAGGGATTATTTCGCTGTGCATTTTGTTAGGTAAAAAAAAGTAAAGTTGTCCCTGTGTTAAATTAAGCACTATGCCATGAAGACATTTGGGGGAGTGGAGGTACAGCTCCGCACTCAGCCACTTTACTCCCAGGAATAAACCCCTTGTACCCATTGGACAGGAGACTAGGTGGGACACAGGGCTGGTTTGGATGGTATGGGATAAAGAAAAATTTCCTGCCTTTGCTGGGAATTGAACCTTGGCCGTCCAGCCTGCAGCCCATTGTTATACTGATGAAGCTATCTATCCCTTGTCAGGGAAAAAATACTTCCATGTTATTAGGATGGTTCCAAGCATATAACAATACTCTGTGTCCAAGTGAGTACATTTAAATTAAATTAATCTCTATTTCAATCACAACGAAGTGCTGGAATAAACATAATCTCTTCAGCCTTTATTCTCTGTATGTCACACAATGGTGACAGTGGATGCACTAGTTTAGCGGGTCCCAGCAGAGCTAATCCAGCATCTTGCACAGCATAGATCTCGTTACTATCACACTGGAGCCTTGCTGCCAGCACTTTAACACTTAAATCTGGCCGATAAAGAATGAGGCAAACACTGAATAAGGATTAGTTAGAAGGCACCAGCAGGAGGATAACATATAAACCACCCCTCAGAAAATTCATATTCAGACAGTCCCAGAGACCTGCCATTCTGACTTATGACATATTCAATGTCCTCCCCCCCCCAACCAGTTCCTCCTAGCAAATGCCAGCACAGCAACTTCAAACAGTCCACAACCATCTCCTTTCCTTGCCTTAGCTACTCAGAGTTCATGATATTTCCACCTCATTTGATGTTGTGTAACCACTGCAGTTGAAATACTGTCAAATAACCACATATGAGAACACAAGAAATGTATACATAGGGCATCAATTCTGACACGCTCACTCTCAGAAACTGTGGCGCATACAGAAAATCTATTTTGGGCATCAAATATGTTTCATTTTTCTCTACAACAACTCTGTAGGAAACACTGTTCACCCTGACAAATATCTGCTGAGCTATCTGCAAGATATGTTCCATATGTCCAAAGAAACATATGCAGGTCTTCACATGTTCTTAAATTCTAATGAAACTGGAATGTGTTGAGAAATTTTAGTAAACATCTTCAATATAAAATTTCACAAAAATCCATTCTCGTGTCATTTCGCACAGACAAGACAGATATCGTGAAGCCGATAGGTATATTCTTGCACCTTTCCATTGCAAATACACCTAAGCTGATAGTAAAAGAATGCGCCACTGAATTATATGGGGCAATCCAAAAGTTTCCGAAATTTGAATTTTGCGCACGAATGGTTATGGGTACATCGAAATGCCGCTAGGTGTCTCCTCACATCCTTCTTGAATCAGTGTGGCAAGCGGTGTCGAGTTAAGTGGTTGGGTTTATTGTTGGTGAACATATTCCCATTGTTGTGTTTCCGTGAGTCTGCAGTTTTGTGATGGCTGCCATGAGAGAGCAGCGGGTCTGTATAAAGTTTTGTTTCAAACTTGGGAAAACCGCTGCAGAAACGCACCAAATGTTGAAGCATGCTTTTTGTGAAAACAGTTTAGGCCAGACACAAACTTACAACTGGTATAAGCGTTTTAAAAATGGCCGAACATTGACTAATGACGACGATCGTTCGGGACGGCTGTCAACAGGCAAAACACCAGAAAATGTCGCGAAAGTTAGGGATCTGATTCTGCAAGATCGTAGACTGATCATCCAAGACCTCTGTAACACCTTGGGACTAAGTTATGGTACATGTCAACGAATTTTGTCAGAGGAACTGAACATGAGGAGGATTGCGGCGAAGTTTGTGCCACGACTGCTACAAAATGAACAGAAGCAGCATCACTTGGAAGTCTGCAGGGAACTTCAGCAACAGCTTCAAGAGGATTCAAACTTTCTTTCGAAGGTTGTTCTGATGATGAAAGTTGGGTTTATGGCTATGACCCTGAAAGCAAGCAGCAATCGTCGCAATGGAAGAGCCCTTCTTCACCTCAGCCAAAAAAAGCTCGACAAGTCAAGAGCAACATTAACCTTTAACGGCTGAATGACTCGTATACATGTCGCAAGGAGGGACCCGAGTTGGCCAAATGACACGTATAGTTGCAGGACACGCGCACTCTTTAGGAGTGCTGACAGTTTGACCTTGGGTTTGAAACCAAAAGAAACCTACGCGATGTCATGTCAGTGGTTCATTCCTTAGCTCTGAACAAATAAATCGTTTATCTCGGTCTGATTTCGAAACTATTTATGTTTATATATGACTGTTTATGACCTGGTGAACCAAATGTAGCCCAGCTTTGTTCTGAGAACTGAAGAGGAAATATTCGTAGGTGCTTACAGATCAGTGCTTCCAGAGCTTTCAAGGAAGTGTGACGTATTCAAGGATTGGTTTTCAGTGGCGAATTATCAGTTAGGAAGTTAGTGTCGGATTGTGTTATATTTCTTTTTCACTTAAAAAGTTAGTGTCAGACTCTCATATATTTCTGTTTATATTGTTTTGTGTCTCGGAAGAGGTATAAACCCACTGAGCCAGTATTTGTTTGTGAGTAGAAGGCATCTTCGTCACTGTGACTTTCCGTATCAGTGTCGGACTGGCACCTTTTCAACTATTATTACAATTATTATTTTTTATTGCTAGTGGGGTGGGACTAAGTCTCTTGTACTGCTGCCACTTCTGGCATATTGTACCATACTATTACAGTTACTTTGCATCACTAGTTTGTGAGTCTTTGTGAATCATCATAATTTATTCAATTTTGCGGGAAACCCCCCTCCCCCAAGATGGAACCTCAAAAACGTGCCCGATATTCCAAAATTCTCGATGCAGAAGAGCTGGAGGAAATATTGATGGAAGAGGAATTTGATGAAGAGCTAGAAGATATAAGTGAGTTCTTTGAACCTCGAGCACATATGTTGTCGTCACCATCATCATCAGACGAGGCAGAGGAAACGGAAATTAGGTTTCGTGATAAAAGACCCAGGTTTCGCCAAAGGTAATAGACTTCACTGGTCCTCCGAGTGGAATCAACAGATGACACACAAAAAGTTCCACGAAATATTGGTGCGGGATTTGATTCTTCAGTCGCACGAGGCGAATATCACAGTCAGTGGCGTTTCTCGGGGGAGGCCAAGTTCATCTGTGGCCCAACTGAATCGACTGGAGGTGAAACATTCACAACACTGGCCAGCCAAAGGAAAACAAAGATGTTGTCGTATTTGTTCTCAGAATAAGAAGCGGAGAACCACGGCCTATTGCTGTAAAAAGTGTAACGTTGCGCTCTGTGTGGAAGACTGTTTTGAGAGATGGCACACGCGTCAGAGTGTGAGATAGCATAAACTGTGAAGTGACGCAGTTCAAACTCGCATACAGTCTGAACAAAATATTATTGTATATAGTGTGATCATATCTACAATATCATCATGATTCAAGATTGAAGAAAAAACAATGGGTAAGTCCTTTGGAACTTCATAACATATATAATAAAGAGTATGTTTTGCATTTCATGACAAAATATTCACAGTTAATTTTCATTTGTAAAACTTGTTCTTTTACGTATATGTAGAAAATTTTATTGTCTTTCAGGGTCTTTTTAGTTCATATTTCTATGTTGCATAGAACGGAAAATGTGCATTTTTTTCTGAAAGTTTGCGGTGATAATTAAGTAGGGTGATTTAAATTCCGGCCGTACAGGGCTCCTGGCAATTTAAAAGTCCGTACGTTAAAGGTTAAGTCCATGTTGATCTGTTTTTGTGATACTGACAAGATTGTTCATAAGGAGTTCGTCCCTCCTGGTCAGACAGTCAATAAAGAGTTCTATCGCGATGTTCTAAGGCGTTTGAGGGAGGACATTAGGAGAAAACGTCCAGAGAAGTGGCGCACGAACGACTGGGTACTCCACCATGACAACGCACGGCCGCATACGGCTTACATTGTGCAGGAATTTTTGGCTAAAAACAAGATGGCAGTTGTTCCCCACCCACCATACTCGCCAGACTTAGCTCCATGCAACTTCTTTCTCTTCCCCAAGATGAAAATCAAGTTGAAGGAGCGAAGATTTGATACAATTGAGGAAATTCAAGCGGAAACGCAGACGGTACTGAACACACTAACAAAGAAAGACTTCCAGGAAAAATGTATGCGCTCCCAAGGGGACTACTTTGAAGGTGATGGTGCAGGATAAGATCTAGGTAAGATGTAATAGTTTTTATTAATATATTTTGGGAACTTTTGGATTGCACCACATATATACTGAGCTATCTCAATTCAGTTCATGTTCAACATTTATTTCCCCAAGATTTATTTTAATATTATCCGCCCACCTCCTCAGTATTATTAGTGCCTAATTCCTAAGAATGCCACCAATAGAGTTCTCTGTGAAATGTTAGTTTCTTGTAATGCTGAATGGTTGTAGTCTTCTGCGATATGACACTGTGTAGTCTGGTAGATTGTTACCAGTGTTTTGGAGGAACTGGCTAAAGAGATCTACTCCTCTGTCATCAAGATGGAGATAACAAGTTCCTCCAAAACACTAATGACCTGACATGCTACATGGCATCATATTCCAGAAGACAGCAATCTCTCTGGTTACCTTCTATCTGGTTTACCTAAAAGTATAATGTATAAGGGGCGGGCCTTCTCGGCCCTTGCACTGCGACCTACAGTGATCTATTGTTTCGTAACCCAAATTCTACAAGACTACTGCGGCCTACAGTGATCTATTGTGCTTCATAACTCAAATTCTACAAGACTACAGCGACCTGCAGTGATCTATTGTGCTTCGTAACTCAAATTCTACAAGACTACAGCGACCTACAGTGATCAATTGTGCTTCATAACTCAAATTCTACAAGACTACAACGACCTACAGTGATCTATTGTGCTTCATAACTCAAATTCTACAAGACTACTGTGGCCTACAGTGATCTATTGTGCTTCGTAACTCAAATTCTACAAGACTACAGAGACCTACAGTGATCTATTGTGCTTCATAACTCAAATTCTACAAGGCTACCGCAACCTGCAGTGATCTATTGTGCTTCGTAACTCAAATTCTACAAGACTACAGAGACCTACAGTGATCTATTGTGCTTCATAACTCAAATTCTACCAGACTACCGTGACCTACAGTGATCTGTTGTGCTTCGTAACTCAAATTCTACAAGACTCAAACAAAGTCACAAACTGTGAGGAGCATTAAGTGTCTTTATAAGTGTTCTAACAAATATTACATTACAAACTTCCACTATTCATGAGCCTCTTTCACAGTTCAGAATTACTGGGTCATCGGGCTCTGTCCACCATCTGGTGTCCCAGAAACTAGAAAACACAATGTTTCAGAAACTGGATATGTTTCCGTCCTCAGGTGAGTGGGGGAGACACCTAATATGTTGCCATATTCCCACTCTATTTATAAATATGGACCAAAAAAATAAAAAAAAAAAAATTCGTGGTTTCAGTCTGCAAGTGAACTATACCGAATGAGCAACCACCGCTTGTCAGCGAACTTGGTGCTAACTTTAGCAGATAGAGGGTGTCGCGTGGGCAGCACTTGCCTTCACAAGGCTAAAAATACCCCGTTCCAGACCCACTACTTCTCAGAAAATCTGATACGTCAGGAATCGAACCTGGACTTCTGGATCTGTAGCCAGGAACCCAGACCACTAGACCACTAGACCACAGAGGGGGACCAACAAAATAAAGATATTTTTATTTTACTTAACAATGCTTCCAACAGTTCAGATTATATAGTGTTGAAAGATAGGATTATCTGCATCCTAACTGTCTGCAAACAGAAGCCAAGATTTTCTTATTCCTCACAACACATTCTCAGTTTCTGTAACTGACAGACATTGCCTGTGGGATTACAGGAGACTGACTTTTGCACTGTGCTATGATTTGAAAGCTTCTGTTTCATTAATTATTGATACAAGTCTGTAGCTCATGGATTTACAGACTGCTGACATGACAGTTCACTTGGCCAAAGCACTGCATTTATACCCAAGTTTAAATGTGGCCACCAGCCCAGTAGTATCTGGGGATACAAATCTCTTATTCCCAGACCATAAAGATTTATTCAGATTTTCATGAAAAGAAATTAGAAGAATTCCAAATTTATCATGGAAAACAAACACATGACCTCATAATAAAACCACTAATTTCCAATGGAACAAGAGATATGGAGTTAAAAGATATCTGTTAGTTACTATAGGATTCTGATGATGGTGTATAACACACTGATATATTGGGTTTCTGGACTTTATCCATCGTCCTGGTTTTTAAGATAACAAATAAAAACACGTTTCGGAAACTGGATCTGTTTCCGTCCTCAGGTGAAGGAAAAGGGAAACACCTATTCTGTTGGGTCCGTTAGAAAGAGCTAGCCTCAATTACTGGACCAGTGATGAGGACGGAAACAGATCCAGTTTCCGAAACGTCGTGTTTTTATTTGTTATCTTAAAAACCAGGATCATGGATAAAGTCCAGAAACCCAATATATCAGTGAAGATATCTGTTGTTTCTTAGTTTATTCAGCAATGCTTTCACTAGCAGCAAAAGCAGCACTGATGCCTGGAGGGACTTAAGAGAAACTACAGCCAGAATATCCAACCTACAGGTGAGAAAGAAACTAGCCAATATGAAGCAGAAGTGTAAACCATTCAATCTTGAAAGCAGGGGAAGGCACTGATGTCGGGTCATGCAAAGAATGAACATACATTTCTCCCCACCCATGTGTCTATCTGCTGCACTCCTCTGCCACCATCTACCATATTTTGGTTTTTGTTCCGTCCCTCTCTGCATTTTTGGTTTGTTAGTGGTGTTCACATGTGCAATTTACATTGAGTGGGGCAGCCGACATGAATGCACACCATGTGTTCATTCTTCCCCTGACTCAAGTATGATAACTGTGCAGTATCTGCTCTGCTAGATCACATAGCATACTGAACTGCATAACAACATATAGATATGGAGAACCCCAATTTACACTTCACCTGAGCGGCAGCAATTTGACCATGAAGAGTTAAGGAAAGATGGATTGAAAAGAATGAGGAAGGAAGCAATCATTGCCTAATTTGGGGTACTAACATGTAATTTGTCTGGAGGGACAGAGAAACAAAAACCTGTCATAATAGCTAAGTCTTGGGCTGAGATTTCAACGTGGGGCCTCCTGCGTAAGAAACAAGTGTGCTAAAAACAAGAGCAGTAACAAACAGCTAATGAAATGGCACTACTGTACACTTACAATATACTGAAGCCTCAATTATGACACAGTTTAGAAGGTTGCAGAAATGACCAATCTGACAACAGTGTGATATACCTACGTCTTTTACAGCGAAATACAGGGAAGATGTAACTCACCTGGTCGAGGTCCTGGCCCTCGCATTCCCATAGGTCCTGGTGGACCCCGCAGATGGACCATTGGCCCTGTCAAACAAAACTCAGCATTAGCATCACAGGCAACAAAGTGTTCTCATGCAACAAATCCACATCTACACACACAATATACATAAAAGGCTAACACTTGCGATTCTTTCATTGTGTATGTCAGCAGTCAGAGTTGGCAGTAGTTATGAAGAGGAGCAGAAGATGGTAGGTATGCTTGAATTTGTATTGCAGTGTCCACTTCTGCTCCACACCCCTCTCTCCAACATTGTACCACCAGATGTCACCATTGTTCTTCCATTAAGATTAACACCTTAGTGTAACTGCAGGCATAGGCTGCGCCCTAGTTCAAGCGGTTAGTCGCTGGTTCAATCCCGGGTCTGGACAAGTGGGATGTGTGGTGGACAAAGTGGTGCTGGGGCAGGTTTTCTCCAAGTACTTTGGTTTCCCCTGCCAATCTTAATTCCACCAAAATTCTCCATCATCATAATCACCCAGGGCAGGCTACAATAGGCCAATCAGTGGTTGCCATGCCGAGTGGACCCAGGTGGACTCCACCTCCCACTATGCGAATTAAAAAAAAAGCTGCAGGCATCTTTGCAGAACTTTCATGTTACTGGGGTTGGATATTTTTTATGAAGTTCTGGTAAATAATGTTGCACATACAAAGAAATTTTCGATAAACTTTATATCAACCCTTCCCCCCCACAATATCTGTATGAGGCAAGCACTCAGAATCCACTTCTGTAGTGGGACACCCACAGGGCAGTTCTGTTACCTACAATGATCAAGTGATCAGAAGAGAGGATCTATAGCCTACATGGACATTTATATCTGTAAGCACCAGACTCCATAGTATGACTCGTTTGCAATGATGGCATTATTTCTGCAACTACAGATTTATTTTGTAGTGTGTAGAACTGTTACTGTAATGGCTGCGAGATAAGCAAATATACCACAGCTGTTTCTACGCAACAGCTCGGCAAACATATTCCTGCATCAAGAGACATGAACACAACAATGGTACAGGAACTGAGTAATGGTGTTTTTTATGTGGTCTATGCCGAGATGTTATAACCGGGAAGGATTGGAGCAATTAGTTAATTGTAACTGTGCTCAGTTGAGAGTCTGGCAGTGAAGAGAAGACTCAAAGAACACCTATCTCTTATTCATTTCAATCTTTCTTTAAACCAAAAAGCCATAGCAAACAGATTTATTATTAAACAACAAAATATAAAATAAAAAGATAATCACCTGGTCCACGTCCAAGTAAATGTCGTGGCCCAAAACCATCAGGTCCCATACCCATTCGAGGCCCCATCATTCCTCTTGGGCCAAATTCACGGCGAGGAAAGAAATCTGGTCCCGGTGCACGTCCTCTGCGATCAAAACCATCTGGTCTAGGACCTCTAGGATCAAAGTCTTCTGGATGTGACATCCGAGGATCAAACCCTTCTCTTGGTGGTCCCCTTGGATCAAAAACATCAGGGGGACGGCGACCACGAGGCTCAAACTCATCTGGATGAATTCCTCGTGGGTTGAAATCATCTGGGACTGGCGGGTGAATATCGAAGTCATCTGGATGGGGAGGACCCCTGGGGCCAAAACCTTCGTATTCATCAGGATGAGGTATCCGTTTATCAAACCCTTCAGGCCGAGGCCCTTGTGAACCTTCTGCTCGTGGATGTCTGGAATCAAAATCTTCATTCTCAGAATCAAATTCTTCTGGTCGAGAATCTCTTGGCTCAAAAACATCGCGCCCATATCCTTCAGGATGGCGATCCATGCCAGGAGACACAATCATACCCTCTGGTAGGGGTCCACCTCGAGGGAATGGACCAGGTGGTCGGACACCATCAGGCCTGAATCCTGGGCCTGGTGGCCTGAACCCATCAGGCCCCGGACCCCTAGGACTGAACACAGGACCACCTGAAACAGATACCCCAGACATGTGCTACCATGTTACTGCAATGTTATGCCACCTCACAAGTCTCAGACTCATTGTATATAAACCCACAAAGAAAAAAGAAAGCAAAATAATAACTTCAGAACTGGACACAGAAGAGTTTTTGATACTTTATGTTTACTGTGTTATCATGGGGAGCTCTGTGAAGCCCATCACTTGGGTCACTTAGCAACAAGGGTAAGTAAAGTAAAGCTATCTCTGTACCAGGCCATGAAGGCCCATAGGGTTGTGAGAAGTTGAGGGTCTCACATTATGTAAACAATCGGCTCAAAGATGGCGGTAAGGTTGTCAGCCCTACGCGCCGGCCGCGCTTTACTCCCCAGGAAAATTATTTAATTAATTCCTGGTACTCATTTATGTTAGAGGCTGAGTGAGCCCCAGGGCCATAGTGTGGCCGGAAGGATTAGGTCAACTGAAAAAATCCAATGACCTCATTGGAACTTGAACCCGCAAACTTCCGGCTTGTAGCATAGTGCCTTAACCACTGCACTACTGACTTAGCAACAATGGTAGTGGTAATGATGAGAATGATTGGCACAGGAAATGGTAGAACCCTGAGGAATTACCTTCATGCACCACAAATCTGAAGCCACGAACTGCAGCACACAAAGCCATACAAAATTTGAGATCCTCATGATAGTGAAGATAATGTCTTTTGGGATGTTATGCTATGTAATATAGTATATATTTATCAGCATATAAGGAAGTTGGTTCCCAAAGCTCCCTGTCAAAATTGTAAATACCCATCAAATTACATAGCACACCAGAAGACTGTGATCTTCATAGCTGTTCATGGTAGAATTTATCCTCCACTTTCCTTTGACATTTGGCTATTATGAAGATGCAAGGAAAAGGAAAAAGAGGGGATGAAAAAAAGATGAGGAGAAAGAGAGAGAGGAGAGGAGATGCAGAGAAGGGATAAGACAGGGAGTGAAAGAAACAGCACCGAGGACGAACAGACGAGAAAAATGAACAGCTGAGGAAGGAATAGGAGTTGTAGGATAACAACAACAAGACAAAACTTCCTGAAGTCTTGAGTCTCAAAGGATTAATGATGCTTTGAAATGCTCAGCTCATATATCAACAGATGACCAGATCTGATTAGTGTATAATGGACTGGAAAGGAAGGCTGAGGAGTCGTGGCCTAATTTGAGGCCTCTGCCTGGAGGCACTAACCCACAGAAACATCAGCCATGACAGCCAGTCTCTGAACTCAGATCCAAACCTGGGACCTGTTACAATATAAATGAGTTCCATCTGCTCAACCATGATCGTTGGTAACTGCCAACCGCTAAATTATTTTGGGCATGCAATAAAATAATTTTCTCCATAAAATTTAACACTTTCAAAGGGGATCATCTTATATAAATACAGTATGCCAGGAGTTCAGTACTGTTTATTCATGTCCATGTAAAAACAGAATGTCCCAGGAGGAAATGTCAATATTCTATGTCAGAGTATCGGCCATTCCAAGCAAAAAAAGTGTAACATCACATGTTGCTCATCTGTACAGGGCATTGCACAGCAAAATAGATCTTGGAAACTGTTCGGAATGCGACGTATGTACACATTCACTTTTTTGCTTAGAATGGCTAATACTATGACCTTCCAGAATACTAACCCTTCTTCCTGAGACACTCTGTATATGAATTTCATCCAAAATGTTACAAAGCATAAGACATTATTTGCTATGAAGATCTGCTGAACATGAGCATAAAGCACTGTTTTTTCATGGTTTAAAACTCCAAGAAATCATTATTTTACCTGGTCCAGGGGGCCCCCTTGGACTCTGGAACCTTGGTCCAGGAGGTCCCTGATGGCTATCGGTTGTATGAGGTTTCCTATCAGAACCACCTTCCTGAACTGCTGGTGGGGGGATTTTAGGGAGATCCAATAAAGATGGCGGAGCATTTGCTCCTGCTGAAGATCCCTCTCTGTCACTGCTTCGTTCTGCAGAGGAACTTCTGTCTCGGCGTGATGGAGGTGGCGGCCTAGGGTCACGGCCACCAAATGAACTTCTGTAACAGAAAACAAACATGATATTCCTCTACAGCACTCATGCTGCATGCATAAACGTGTCTCACTTCCTGTGGGTTATTTAATGATGCTGCCACTAGCTAGGCTATAGAAGATTAAATGATAGGATTACAGATAAGTGGTGGATCAGAAAGGACTTAGAAGGAACCAGTTGTGGCCTGATTGAGGTACTATCCCAGCATTTGACTGGAGGGACTCAGCAAACCTACAAACACCACAAATCACAACTTCTGTGCCCCAGCCATGATCTGAAACAAGTACCTCCTGAATTCAAGCCTAACAGTTACTGCTATGCCATCCCACTCAGTGAAACACATCTTCCTTTGACAAAAAATAAATTACATGGACCAGAAAAGTAGATGCTCAGGAACACATCTGGATGCAAGATAGTCTCCCATTATTGTCAAAGTAGCTAAATCAAAGTGATCACGGTGCAAATGGATGAGGAAACAATATATACATATATAAATTGATTAGGAAATCCCTTGAAAATAAAGAACAGACTTTGAGGAATATGAAGACACAATAAAAGTATGGTGAGTCTTCGGGAAATGGGATAGGCAGATATGAAGTGAAATGATTAAAAATCATTGCCAACTCAGGACTGCTGACATGTGTGTGGTACTGAGTTAGTTACGTCAACTGCAGTTTGAACAATCCTGAGCCAGTTCCATCCACCTCCCATCCTCACAACTTCTTTCCCTAAGATCCATCTTACTAATTAACTAAATTTCTGGTAGCAAAACCCAAAGGTTCAACACTACTAATAACAAAGCCCACAACAGGACACAATCCTGAGCCAGTTCCATCCACCTCCCATCCTCACAACTTCTTTCCCTAAGATCCATCTTACTAATTAACTAAATTTCTGGTAGCAAAACCCAAAGGTTCAACACTACTAATAACAAAGCCCACAACAGGACACGATCCTGAGCCAGTTCCATCCACTTCCTGTCCTCACAACCTGTTTCCCTAAGATCCATCTCATGTTGCCATGTCACTTCCTCAGTCTTTCATGAGGCCAATTGATAAGAGGGTTTCCCTAAGAAAATTTCATATACTAGTACATATCTTGTCTCCCTTGTGAAAACACATGCTCAGCCTATAATTGACTGGATATCACTATCCTAGAAAATGATCTGTATATATCACAACGTTTCTCATTAGGTAATTTCAATTTTAACGCCTACTACTTATTTTTCATAAGATCAACTAAATATTATTTTCACAACTGCTCCTCAGTTTGTCTGCTTTCCAAGATATCCTCAACAAATTCTGAACATGTTTCTGTTTCCCCATCCCAATTTCCTTCATTTGACTGTGTCAAAAATTACAAGTGTAACAGATTACAGTGGAAAATGTATTCTTCACATAATATCATACAGACAAATCAAGGGGGATAGGATGGGCAGGGTATGCTGTACTACATAAGAGGGGTGAGAAATGTATACAAAATTTGTCTGAAAACCCACAGAAAAGTGACCTCTTGGGAGATCTCGGTGTGATAATATTAAAATGGACAATACAGAAACAGCATGTGAAGACACGGACTCAATACAAATTGCTGAGGTCTGTATGGCAGTCCACTCAATCCTGCCATGTCACACACTGCCACAGTATGGTGACCGCAATATATAGACATAACCAAACTCCAAACAGTAAGTCACACTTCAGACACAGGCCACATAAGCATAAGGATAAGAATGCTATATAACCCCCCCCCCCCACACACACACAAAGTGATCTGAAAATGATCTTTCAGAAAGATTTCAACTACTTTACAAGATGGAGTTCTCACAGTGGTGAGCATTAACTTGACAGTATTTCGGGATGTGACACCACATCATTTAGTACAGCCTTCCTCAACCACCAGGCTGCGGCCTTGTCTTGTAAAAAAAATGATTTATCAGGCCACGGTCTCACAAAGGTTGAGAACCACTGGTTCAGTAGATAAGTACTGATGTACCAGAAGTACTATTTCTACCCTGAAGATTGAGGCAGCATGTTCCCTTGATATACCTGCCTACCAAACTACACTGTGGTACATCACAGAAGACTGTAAGATAATCTGCATAGTACAATGAACTGAGGTCAGTCATTCTAAAACAAAATATGCACATGTACTTTGGGAACAAAGCAGTGAAATAGTTAAGTTTCTGAGATCACACCAGCATTATAACCTTTGTTGGAGGAGAAATATAGTGTCACCAGTCATGAAGATAAGGTAACACCTCACACTCCTCCATTCATCTTGCAAGCCACAAGAAGGTGAAGGGGAACTCAAACCCACTCCCCTGCTGTAACTTGCACCAATGTAAACTAACTCACATTGTTCCACAATGAGACATATTTTTTTATTGCTAGTGGGGTGGAACTAAATCTCTTGTACTGTGGCCACTTCTGGCCTATTGTACCAGCTCCAGATGATAGGTGAGGGTGATTGTGGAGCAATTTGTGGAATGAAGATTGGCAGGGGAAACTGAGGTACTTGGAGAAAACCTTCCCCAGTGCCACTTTGTCCACCACAAATCCACTTGACCAGACCCAGGATCGAACCCAGGCTGGCGCGGTGAAAAGCCAGCAACTAAACGCTTCAGCTATGGCACGCCCCAGAATGAGAAGTAAACAAGTAAAGTAAAAAGTAAAGGTATCCCTGTAACCCGCCATGGAGGCCCATAGGGTTGTGAGATGTTAAGGTTCCCACATTTTCTAGACCAGGGGTCTCCAAACTTTTCGAAACGTGGGCCACATTAGGTAATTCAGCACTTTCAATGGGCCGGATAAAATGAAAAATTAATAACTCTAGGTATATGAGTTTTTTGAAAGCACAGAATTTAATAAACTAAATACAAAGTACGTGAGAATAAATTATCATATATTAATGACGACAGTAGCAGCAAATGCTCATATTTTCTTCACAAATTATAATAAAACAATTAATGTGAATTATGGAACTCTTTGCATTCTTAAAATCTGATTAAATTGAGGTTCAAATTTTGAAAAGCTAATCACAAGTAGTGACTTTAAATGTTCATAGGATAAATTTGCCCTGTATTTCGACTTGATGTACTTCATCTGGGAAAAAGTTTGTTCACACAGATATGTTGCCCCAAAAATTGAGATAAATTTACAAGCAAATTTCTTTAAATTTGGAAATTGCTCAGAGTTCAGAAATTTATAAAATATGATCAAATTTCTTTCCTTGAATTTGACTTGGCACATCTGCAGCATCACAGTCAAACAGATTTTCAAACAATCTAACTTCCTGAGCACTGGCATCCAAATCAGCAAATCGCTTCCGAAACTGTTCTTTGAAATCTGAAATGACTAAATTTGCAAATGAGGAAGGAAATTCTGCTTCACCCTTTTTATGCAACTCTGCACAGTACAGCATATGAACAAAGTTACAATTTTTCACTTGGCTTTCCAGAAGTATCAACTTTGCTCTGAATGCCTTGATAAGTTCAAATAAATCACAGACTAAGTTATTTTCAGGCTGCAACTTTAAATTCAAATTGTTCATATGGTTCACCAGATCAGAAAAAAATGCTAATTTCCAAAGCCACTTGGTATCTGATAAAAGTGGTTCATGATGGTTTTTCTCGGTAAAAAATATATAAATTTCATTACTGAGCTGAAAGAAGCGTGAAAGAACCTTTCCACAGCTAAGCCATCGAACTGCAGTATAATGTCAGGTCAATAAGCTCGGAATCACATTCCTCGAGAAAAGACCGAAACTGGCGATGGTTAAGTGCATGACAGCGAATGAAATTAATGATAGAAATAACAGTTTTTAAAACAGAGCTCATATCAATGTGTTTTCCACAAAGTGCTTGTTGGTGGATAACACAGTGAAGAAACATTGGCTTTGATATTCCTGCATCCTCACAAGCTTTTGTGATTTGGCCAACCAAACAAATTTTTATACCAGACATGTTTTTTCTTCCATCAACTGTCACGCACTGCAGACGGTTCCAGTCCAAATTATATTCTGTTAGTGTTTTTTGTATTTCTTTGAAGATATCATCTCCTGTTGTAGTGCCATGCATGCTGTGAAGTGACGCTAATTCCTGTGTGACATTAAGTTCATCGTCGACGCCACGAAAAAATACTAATAGTTGAGAGGTATTACAACCATCAGTTGAAATCTATGAACAAGTATCTTTTTTTACCAGTACTCATTGGAAAATTAGTTCAACTGGCACATTTCTGCGCAATTCTTTTGCGGGTCGGATAATATCACATCGCGGGCCATAGTTTGGAGACCCTTGTTCTAGACAATCAGCTCATAGATGGTGGCGAGGTTGTCAGCCCAATGCGCTGGCTGCCCTTTACCCCCAAGAATATTCCTGGTATTCATTTCTGTTAGAGGCTGAGTCGACCCCAGGGCCATAGTGTGGGCAGAAGGTTTAGGTCAATTGAAAAAAACTGAATGACATCATTGGCAATCGAACCCACGCCCTTCTGGCTTGTAGCATAGTGCCTCTAACAGAAATGAGTACCAGGAATTAATTAAATATTTTTTCTGGGGAGTAAAGCGCAGCTGGCGCGTAAGGCTGACAACCTTACCACCATTTTTGAGCCGATTGTCTAGATAATGTGGGACCCTCAACATCTCACAACCCTATGGGCCTTCATGGCCTGGTACAGGGACAGCTTTACCTTTTTTTTTGGTACAGGGAGAGTTATACTTTTTTTTTCTAACTACATTTAGCAGGAGCCAGGACATCTCAGTCAGTATAGTGACTGGCTATGGGCTAGATGGCTGAGGTGTCGGAGTTCGAGTCCTGGCAGGGTCAAATATTTTCTTTACTCCATGTCGTACAGATTGGCTCTGAGGCTCACCCAGCTTCCTATCCAATGGGTACCGGGGGCCTTTCCCCAGGGGAAAAGTGGCCGAGGTGTGAAGCAAACCCCTAACCTACAACTAGTGCAAAGGTCAAGAAAAAGTGGATCTATACCTTCACCTCCCACTTCTTCACAGCACAGTGCTTAGTTAAGCATAGGGACAACTTTTATCTTTTTAGTATTTAGTACAGCTAAAGCCAGATATGTTCCTATAGGCCCAAATCCAACTGTTTCTCCTGCCTCAAGTACATACCTTGCACATTCAGTGAAGTCATATTCCAAAGTGTCCTCTGGGGCTATAATGTAGAGTGGACCACAGTGTGACTAGGTATTGTCCTGATAACCATGATAATTTTCTACTGAAATTACAATAGGCTCCAGTATATCTTGTAAACAGTAAAACTACAGCAGTAAACTACTGTCTGGCCACCGAAGGAAGTTGCACCTTGCACCACTTCAGCCAATAGCTGTGTGAGTTGCTTCTACTGGCTTTCCTATCATTCACTTTCAGAACTCAAGACAGTATAGACATTCCTCCATGCACTCAGGCAAAGCTGGGATAGTACAATGTCCATTTCCTTCCAAATCCTTTCCAATTCATTAGTTGATATTCATCCTACATTCAATGCTGTACAGTCTGATCTACTAACGATAGCAACATAAGATAAACAACAAAAACTGATGAACGGGTTCTACAAAGATGGGCCTATATATTTTATAATACTTGTGCCTCTAAACAGACATGCTGCCAATATTAATAAAATGACACAAATTACTGGTATATGTTCCAAAAAGATGACAGGTTTTATACAAAACTTCAAAAGTTTCAACCCTTGCCTCTTTGTAAATTTTATCACAAAACCAATTTCTTCATATGATATCTGTACTTATGTGTTTAGGCCTACCAATGGGGATGCAGGACACATCACTATTGGTTGCAATGCATGAGCAACAGAGATACTGGTGTTTTTATTCTGTTTATGGTCCATCTACATACTAATTTCACAAGTGTAAATTCTATGGGTATCGGAAAACCTATGGCTGGATGGCATGACATATTCTCTTGAGGTCAGAAACAGTCCAATGGCCTACACCCTTGAAGAAGAAATTCTACGGATTATCATCACTATTATACCAAACACTACACATAAATAGACATGTTATGTACTTTACAAAATGTCACCTTAATGAAAGTTATGTTATTTCAAGATCATTCAAAATATCAGTGGTTCTGATTTAAATGATACAAATACTTGAAGTCTGAGATTCTCATGACACTAAGGGGGATGGGGGGCAGATGGGCTGTATATGTACTGCAAGGCAAATGCCAGGATAATGCCTTTTATGGCATAACTGATTCCTTCCAAATCCTTTCCAAAGCTGCATAGTCTCAATACTGAAAGCATCATTTAATAACACACAAAAGAAAAAAAAAACACATCTATGTGTCCACCTGTGTGCATGTAATAACTCAAGAAGAACTGCTGAACGAATTTTACATGTGGCCTTACAAGCACTCCTGCATACACAAAATACCACCCAGTACATATTTACTGGGGGGAGGTCAAGCAAAAAGTTGTGTAGAAAGAAAGAGAACAAATCTTACAGGTTTTGAGACAATTAAAAACACACAAATGCCCATCCTACGAGGGGAATTCAAGTTCTAAGGTCTCCAATCTTTTTCTCAGGACTGGGAGCAGAGAGACACATGTGGTTTAGTTTAAAATGTGTGTGCACGCTTTGTGGATGTGTGACAGAGATGGTAGCACTGTACAGCACACAGAACTCTAGTGGTGGTGGCGAGAGTGAGGAGTGTGTTCAATACCTAAAATGGCGACATTTTCGTTACAAGAACAGCAAGTAATCATTCGTTTTCTCCACTTGCGTGGTGCGACACCCATTGAAATTCATCGCCAGTTGATTGAGACATGTGGTGATGGTGTCATGAATGTGAAAAATGTGTGTTTGTCGGTGTGACAGTTCAAAGAAGACCGAACGTTGTGTGACAACGAACCAAAACAATCTCGGCCTTGCACCAGCTGGTCTGACAACATGGTCGAGCAAGTTGAGAAAGTTGTTTTGGACAATTGCCGATTGAGTGCGGAAAACATCGCCTCCAATGTTGGCATTTCTGTGGGATCTGTGCATACATTCCTGCATGAAGACCTGTGAATGCGGAAAGTGTCCTCCAGGTGATGGCCACGAATGATGGCGGACGACCACAAGGCTGCGCGAACGGCAATTTGCCAGGCGATGTTGACACGTGATGAAGGCATGAATGGGACTTTCTTTTCATCAATTGTGACAATGGATGAGACATGGATGCCATTTTTCAATCCTGAAACGAAGCGCCCGTCAGCTCAATGGAAGCACACAGACTAAGCGCCACCAAAAATTTCGGGCAAGCACCAGTGCTGAAAAAATGATGGTGGCCATGTTTTGAGACAGCAATGGCGTAATCCTTACTCAAGGCATTCCAAAGGGCACTACAGTGACAGGTGCATCCTACCGAGATGTTTTGAGGAACAAGCTCCACTCAGCATGTCAGCCACTGATTGGCCTATTGTACCTGCACCGGGTGATTATGATGGAGAATTTGGTGGAATGAAGATTGGCAGGGAAACCGAAGTACTCGGAGAAAACTTGCCCCAGTGCCACTTTGTCCACCACAAATCCCACTTGACCAGAACCGGGCTCGAACCCAGGCTGCTGCGGTAGGAAGCCAGCGACTAACCTACCCCACTCCTGTAAATAATATGTCTAAATATCAGCCACGAAAGACTGCAAAGACCTAGATAAACCTGCTGTATCTTCTCAAATATTAATACAGGGCAACTATAAATGATTCATTCGTTTTTAAAACGCTATATTTTCCAAAGTATTATATGTACAAATATGACTGATATATAAAAAGGGCCATAAACTCACCAAGTTTCTATTGTGTGCACCAGTTGGCAGCACGAGTTCAGTGCCTTTACCAAATGGCGACAAAGCAAGAAAAGAGTTTGAATATGCGAGATGTTCGTCTGTTATAGCAGTGCAACGTGCATTCAAAAGAGAGTACGGAAAAGAACCGCCATTTAAACAAAGCATTTTGCGATGGTATCGGCAATGTTCGTCCCTACCTAAACAATGAACTTCGGCATCGCTGGATTGGGCGTTGGTGAGGATGACGTAGCTTTGTTCACTTGGCCCCCCCGATCACCTGATCTAACGCCTTGTGACTTCTTCCTTTGGGGGTATATTAAGGATCGTGTTTACGTACCCCCACTGCCAAGAACACTAGTAGAGCTGAGGGAATGCATCGATGCTGCAGTGATGACCATTGACAGGATGATGCTACAAAATGTGTGGAACAAGCTCGACTACTGCCTGGATGTGTGTCGTGTGACCCAAGGGGCACACACAGAACATTTGTAGAGTGTGAAGAAAACTTGGTGAGTTTACGGTTCTTTTTATATATCAATCATATTTGTTTGTGTAATGCTTTGGAAAATATAGCGTTTTAAAAACGAATAAATCATTTATAGTAGCCCTGTATTTACTCCAAATAAAGTAGATGTGATTTCATAACATGAGTTCTTCTCTACGAAGACTATGACAATTCCTTGGTGAAAGTACAATGCTATTACTGTACCTGCTGTCATCCCTATCGATACCAGTGTGTCCGTCATTTGCCAGGTTACGCAGCCGTTCCAGGAGACTTGGTTTCTCCGACTTCTCCCCTTGCTGCTGTTGAGGTGGCACCTGGTCTGCCCATGGACTAGGAACCTGCTGCCTGTCCTCATTGTGATGCTGAGGTTCTCTCCAGTCCCGGTCCCTGTCTCTCTCTCTCTCCCTGTCACGGTCACGATCACGATCACGTTCCCTGTCCCGATCCCTGCCCTTATCACGATCTCTATCACGATCACCCCACCGACTTCTTTCTCTGTCCCTCTCCCTGTCTCTGTCACGATCGCGATCGCGATCACGATCCCTGTCTCTATCTCTGCCTCGATCACGGTCCCTGTCTTTATCGCGATCTCTGTCTCTTTCCCTGTCACGATCACGATCGCGATCACGGTCCCGGTCCCGGTCGCGATCTCGATCACGTTCCCGATCTCTCCGCTCACGATTCCGATTTCTTTCTGCAAATTCACTGTCATCCCTAGAGGAGTCCTGGTCTTGACTGAATTTGCTACTGGAGCTGTCCTTCTGCTGTGACTGCTCAGCTGCAGCAGGTTGCGATGATTGTGACGATTGCATCTGTGACTGCTGCTGGTCTTGCTGCTGTAGTGGTGGGGGTTGCTGCATCTGCTGCTGGAGAGGGGGAGGTTGAAGAGTGGTTAGGTGAGGAGGGAGACCTTGCTGCATCGGCTGTCCTACAAGTGGATGCCCAAATGGTGGGGCTCCTCTTCCACCCAAAGCTGCCAACATTGGATCATTTATCCTGAAGAAACAGAAATGTCAAATTATTTACCTGCCCCAAACAAATTACATCAGCACAGTGAATAAATTATCAATATTTCACTTTTGACAGCTCTACGAAAACATTAGCTGACTGAGGATCTAAAATTACTCTCAACCGTCTATTACACTGAAATGGTAAACAGCCTGAAACTGCAGACTTTTATTATATTTAATTTGGTTGTTATACTGTATACAACACACAAAATATGAATTCATAGCAGGTTAAAACTGCATTCGAACTTGGAGAACTGTACGTGGAAAAATTCCTTCAAATTTAGAAGCAGTTGAATTTAAATTCACATAACTTACAAAAAATTTTAATCTTCTAATGCCTGAAACTCCACCTCCCCCCAATAAAGAGATGACTGTACTTCCTTTACAGAGACCAACTCATTACTGCCGTTTAGAGACATAATCACTGTTTAGTGTGACAATCACAAGGAATCCATACATACAGCGTGAATAGAATGCACAGATTCTGAATATTAAAACAGGTGGTACAACTATACTCAGTAGCATTAAAATTGTCAATCAAAATGTCAGACATCCCTAAAATATATAATGAGTGACACTTTAGTACTCTTTGGACATGCGGTAGCGTAGTCGACTGGGGCACCATGTTATAAGCCGGAAGGTCATAGGTTTGATTCCTGATGAGGTCCAGCTGCACTAAGGCCCTGGGGTCGACTCAGCCTCTAACAGAAATGAGTACCAGGAATCTTCCTGGGCAGTAAAGGGTGGCTGGTGGGCAAGACTGATAACCTCACCAATATCTGTGAGCCAATTGTCTAGAAAATGTGGGAGTCCCAAAGTCTCACAACCCTGTTGGCCTCCATGGCCTGTAACAGGGATAGCTATAGCTTTATAAGGAGCGAGAGAATGTACAGAACCATAGCAGCATCAGAATAGCCACAGACTTACCTCACTACTCCATCTGTTTGCTCAGTTGTCTTTGGTTGTTCACCCTGAGATATATCCACCTCCATGTTCCCATCATCAGCGTTCACTTGCAAGGGAATGTTGCGGACTGAGGAATAACAATGAACAATATATCAGCATATGTATAACTGCCATAGAAAAATCAGCAAGTCTGACATACATCATGCTCTTAGCCAAGCCATAGCTCAAGTTGTTAGTCACTGGCTTCCCACTGTGGCAGCCCGGGTTCGATCCCGGGTCTGGTCAAGTGGGATTTGTGGTGGACAAAGTGGTGATGGGGTGGGTTTTATCCGAGTACTTCGGTTCCCCCTGACAATCTTCATTCCACCAAATTCTCCATCAATTGGCCTACAATAGGCCAATTAATGGCTGCCATGCTGAGTGGACCCAGTTGGACTCCACCCCCCACTAAGCAAATTTTAATTACACCATGCTCTTAAGTCACATAGTGTAATACTGTATTACCTGAAAACAACACACAAATCCAAGTCACAGGACACAGCTAATGTCAATGATCACTCTGACATACTACTTGAAGGTCGGATACTAGAACTAGAAAACTTGTTTTCAAACCTCCCCCCACTCACCTACTTAGTTACTGAGCCTCACCAAAATTTGCAAACTGGAGGGTGGCAACCACATGTACATTTACTGCAAAAATACTTCGTGCATTCCAAGCCCTTCAATTAAATTCTGTTCATGAAGAACAGCATAAAATGATGACAATAGCATCAAAACCCCATGTAATGTTTCTTCTGCAAGCAATAGATATGAGCATCACACTTAAATGAATGAAATTTGATACTAGGATTGCCAATTTAAAATCCTTGGAACCGAATGTTAAATTATGAAAAATCTTAAAGTGAGTAAAATAAAATGGGGTTCTTTCAAGTTTAAAAAGACATGACCACTCACATCACTCTGGTACTAAGGTCTAGAACAGTGGTTCTCAACCTTTGTCAGTCCGGGCCAGATGAGGGCCCGGCAGTTGAGAAACACTAGTGCAGAACATATGGGGCTTTCATCCCCACACACCTTCATGATGTGGTGGGCAAATTCTTTAAACTGCTATGATCTATATGTGCTAAGTCAGTCCACGATCCTGCTCTTTTTTTTTCTGTGCTTTTCATGGTTTCTGTAGATGCAAAGAAAATCATTTGCTGACAAAAAATGTCAGTGATTCCTACAAAGCTTCTTTAACGATTTCATGCCACTGCATGGTATTTTATCTCTCTGCATTCACCTGATTCTGAAACTGTTTTGAAACGCATCAATGCTACTACACTGGCACATGGCAATTAGAGGCCTGGTCCTTGAGGTACACACTGAATCAGCTTATATACCACATTTTTGTGTCTATACTTCCGGCCATATTTATTTACCTTGTGGATGCATCCCTGGTGGAACTCCAAAAGGGACGCGCATCATTGCTTCACTCAGCCCTGGAAGACTGGCCTCAGACGTGGGAGGTGGCACTCCAACAGGTGGTGCTGTGTGGGGAAGTCCAGTGTTAGGTTTATCCTGAGGGGCTGCAGGAGCAGGCAGAGGGATCTGACTTAACTGGCCGTGGGGGTGGGGCCCAGTTATTATACTCACTGGGGCACCAGCTGGAACAAGCATCTCATGTAAACAACCTGTAAGGTCCTGACAAAACCTTCCGGGGTGATAGCCATGTTAATTTGGAGGAAATTACTCTGATAATGCAGGAAGTAAAGGTCTCTAAAATGCTGGACTTCTGCTCTGAAGTGAAACAGCTGGTCATCAGAGATTTTGTCACTTTCAGGCACCATGAAAGCTTCAAGCCTTACAACCTGTAAGCACATTACCACTTGTGCTCACATAATTTACTCATATTTTAAGTCACTATCACAGAATTTGTCTGAGGGGATTGCAAAAGAAAAAGTACACAAGCTGAAATCAGGAAAGCCAGGCTCAAGGCTGATAATCACATTCCAATCTGCTAATATGAAAGAGGAGTGCAACTTTTCAGTACATAAAACAGAGAATGAAAAGAGTGGTCACATACTACTGAAGTAAGCATTAAGCTATCAATGATTTGTGCCAGATGGTTCCACATGTTCGTAAGAATACTCACGGCCTGCATTGAAGGGAGAGTTCACAGGCTGAGGTACCCCACCAATCATCTGTTGATGCATCATCTGTCCAGTAGGTGGCATCAGCAGTCCCTGCATGGCTGGAGGTGGAACACCGATTGGGACATTGGGCATCATTCCATGGCCCATTGCCATGCCCATTGGAGCTAAGAGACCAGATGAATAGAAACAATAAAACTATCAGCAAGTCACTAACAATCTGAAAACACTCATACTACTGGAATTAACATATGAAACAAAGGAAGAGAAACAGGGTACAGAAAGAATCAGATAAAAAAGGAAGGAGAGGCAGAAAGAACTAAAGCACAGAGACAGAAAAACAATTCTTATAAGAATTTGACTCCTTTAGGGTGAGGGCCCACCAAGGAAACTGTGTTGCCATTTCCTCAATTTGCGCTGCTGCATTCAGTAACATGTGTTCAACTCGGGCTGATAACAATTCTCAGAAATTGCGGTTGCCAGTTTTCTTGGTGTGCCCTTCCCTTAGAGATGCAGTCAATTTCATAAAAAAAAAAGAAGTGAAAGCCAAAATAAAAGAAATATTCAAAGTTTCACGAACTCCACAGAGTAGAGTTCTTCTGGAGAAAGTAACAGTTCTCTGATATTTAAGAAATTACTTGCCTTTTAGGGAACCCGTATGTTCAGTCTAATATTCACAAGAAACACACTGCCAGAATGTTTCTAGACAAGGCACAGATCTTGCAATGCACATATAAAGAGGGTGGCTACCCAAAGGTGACTACACTTGCTAAAGGTAACATATTTCCCTCCACAATCATTCCAGTTTATATATCAGATCAGGGCTTGAATAATAAGGTCATGATTATCAGTGGTGACCAAAAAAGCTCCCCCTTCTTGCATAAAAACTGTTTTGTGGAAATGTGCTGATCTTATTTAACCACATGCGGCACAGAGGAAATGGTAATCACATTTATAGAAGTTGAGATTAACGTAACTGGCAAGCCTTAACAATCCCTTTTTCAGATTATTTTCATAATTATTTTATGTTCAGTCTATGGATGTTACAAACACTATTACTATATCTTACAATTAGTGGTGTGAGCCACAGCAGAACGCCAGAAGATACACATCTGCCATCATCTAGTGACCAAAATATGTCTGCTTATCAGATTTGCAAAACATTTTTGACCTGTATGTTACACCTAGTTTTCTGCTGTTTCCAACACAACAATGGAGTCAAACACTATCAGGAATGGGCCAGACATGTGTGTAGGAGAACACCTATAGTATCGCCAGGCTAGGATATCCTAACAACACCTCAAAGTCCACGCATCACTCTAGCAAGTCTCAAGAAGTAAAGAGGAATTGCAGTCCTCTCACCTGCTGGTTACTTGCAGCGTCATGAACACACATTATGTCTTTTTGTATTTCATTCTGTTCCACATCATGAATTCACAAACAAGTTATTCTCTACCTACATTACTTTCCTCTGAGTTGTGAAGGTACTTTGACTAGCGGATCATTACCATGTTCTGAAGGAACCTGCTACCTTCATTTTCAGGAGAAAAGGGTAAGCTGAGAACATAAAAAATAATATAGATATAAGGATGAGAAAGGACAGGTCCTGGGTTCTGAGCAAAAGAATGGGTAAGGGCAATAGTACATAGAATGAGTCCTTAAAGTCGCTTTTTACAGGCAGAGAGAATGGAAGGAGTAATGGTCCTGAAAGAAATAACGGAAGTCAGGAGAGAGGCGTGTAAGGAAACAAGTGATCCTTTAAATGACCTTCTCCAAGAGCACTCTTTCCTTATTCAATTTCTTCTCATTTCCATCTGTCTCCTATTGGTTCACAGAAGAGTCATTATTTCTCCCGGTCAATCTTCCCTTGAAAAGCAACCGTTCTAAGTGCCCAAATTCTTCACTGTTCTCCTTATGCTTATCAGTTCACCCTCAGCCTTCTCTCTCCCTATATCTGCACCTCTTCCTTCCATGCTTGGCTCACTTTAACCTCCTGGAGATGGCAACAGGTTCCTCCATTAACATTAACACCCACATATCAATCTGAAGGTGTCACACCTCAGGCAACAGTAGTTTCCATGTGTCTTTCATGTTCTGTGGATGAAGAATTGAGATATTTAACAATCTCTGAGCTGGCAACTTTGTTGCTGAAGGCACTGTGACCACCACCCCGTGTCTTCCAAGTAATAACAGTTCTGCTTAGTCTACACACACTTTCAGATCAAGCATTCAAAACCTAAGACTCCACACAGTTTCTGTTCAATATTACGAGAACCACACTCCCTGTTAAGTCTCTTTCACCTGCAAAACAGAGACTGCCAATCTCTCTGAAAATTTTGGTAAACATGGTATCAAAGATTGCTGTCTTTTCAGTTATGATGCAATGTTACTGCCATTCTGAAGGAGCTCGCTGCTACCATCTTCAGGAAAGATGGAGAGGAATACAGCATGTTTACTATCATGAAAACCTTAAATCTCATACAGCGTTGCCATCCCAAAACAAAATAAAGTCTTTACTTACAACAGCTGCCTCTATGTCATGGAAACACAAGTATAACCAGGATATATATGTCTTTCAAGAGAGTAAGATATAAAACAATTCCCTCAGCACAAAGCGCAACTTACGAGGTACGCTGGGAAGAGCAAAGGGTGATACCATAGGCAATGCACCAGGTGGTGGTACACCTGTTATTGTTCCTGGCATTCCAGCTGGAATTCCTGGTAGTCCTGGTGCAGGTAATCCTCCCTCTGGTGGTCGAAGGGGAGGAGGTTGTGATGTGTCAACTCCTACGCCTTGCGCCACTGAAGTGGTGGCAGGAACAGGCAAACCTTCAGGAAGAGGAATGAAGCCAGGAGGGGGTGCTGCCACTCCCATATCTGCAGGACCTATCTGGTCAGGACCAAGCACTGGAGTGGATGGAACAGAGCCCTGCTGCTGCTGCTCCTGTTGTTGTTGCTGCTGCTGTTGCTGCATGTGGCCTGAAAGTGAACCACATGCATCAATACAAGATGCCTGTGTTGAGTGTCACAATGTATTTTTATTTATGTTTAGATGCAATCCTTTTCTTAAGATTTCTCTGGGCATGATGAAAGGAGGAAAGGGTTAAAAACACCTCCTATAAATGCAATACACCCACTGTGTTATGTAAGGGATGTGCTCTTCAACATGCATTCATATTGTCAAATTCCATGATGCAAACCCTATTTTTCTATTGACTCCCATGCGATAAGTTTGAAATGCACTTTTAATGGATACTGTTTGGTCCACAGCTGTAATAAATATGCCATATCACCCAATAGAAATATCAGGTCTTAGTAAGAACATTTTCTGTGCTCTTTGGGGGTCTATTTGCACTTGGGCCTGATGGCCACTTTCCAAACAACTTAAATAAGGGAAACACACTGCATGACCTAACATATGGTGGGAACAGTAACCATGATGCCAGCCGTTCCACTATCACTAACACGTGCATGTAAGCTAGCTAATGGCCAGCTCCATATCCTGCTACATCAGTGATGCATGTGCATATTAAATCTCAACTTCTTAAGAAAGAAAATAATTTGGACATATTCATTGTTGCTTTGCATTTCATGTTTAAGAAGATTTACTTACACTTTACCCCAAATATCTGTAAAGGATATTTATTTCTGGTGCGGTCATGTTTTATAATTTGTGTACAGGTGAAATAACGTGACTGCCCATAACATGGGCAGGTGAGATGCGCTATCCTTGTAACCACACTCACTCTTAATCCACTCTGGAACAGTTTCTTCATCAATCATGCCCCCTTCCTCCAAGGCATCCAAATCAGATTCCCGAGTAAGTTTTGCCCAAGGGATGTAAGACACACCAAAGTCCACTTCCCAGTAGTCCTTCCACTCCTTCCCCTTCACTCCTTTACCAGGAGCCCAGGCCATCTGCATGAACAAAAAGTAACGGAAGAAATAAAGCCATCGAGGCATGTAGGAACGTGTAGGACATACACCACCACGTGGCTGTGCCATAACTCTGGCAGCGTATCAGGGGCTTCTCACTGTGGCATTCTGCATTGGATCCGCAGTGGCCACAGCAGCACTGGGGCAAGTCTTCTCAGAGTACTTCAGAGCAGCAGCAGCGTCATCATATGGCCAGGACATCTAACACCTCAAAATAAACACGTCACTCCAGCAAGTCCGAGTAGATGTCACTCTCTCCTGAACATGTGACTATTATTTTGCCCAATGACTACGCTTTCTAAAATAAAACACTTTGCAAGAAGAACAGGTTTCTGTTATCATATGTAGGAGAGAAGAGGTTCTTACTAACAACAACTAATGCACCACCTACACTAAGCTTATTGTGACGCGTTGCGTTACCTTACGTCCATCGCCACGCAACAGCTACAATGGAAATTGTTGAGTTCCAACAGTGACAAATTGAATACAAACAGACCGTTGCGAAGGAGTGTTCCCAAGGCAACGGACTGCCAACACGTTAGTTTGGAATAGGCACTTCCATGGTAACACAAAGAACAGGGAGCTGCCGCTTAGACAATGCAGAAGCAACGAACGCGTCTCCCCAGAAATGAACTAGAGAGAGTTCGTTGTGCCCGTTACGTAACAGCGGGCAGTAGAAACGAAACAGTGAAGTATGGTGTCTGGTATCCAGTCCGCAGAACACCTACATAAGCAGAGCTTAAGACACATATGGAATATTAGAGTATTAGAATACTGGAGAATATTGAATATTGGAAGATCAGAGTACAGACAGAAGACAGCAAGAAGTCAGTCTTCAGAAAGCCACTGCATTGGAGTACTGGGCCAGAAGTCAAGTGACACTGCAAGTGGTAACAACTGTAAGGTGTGTGTGTCCAATAAAGATTTGTTAAATCCGAGACCCACATAAAGTTATCTGTCGCATGACATACCCAACACGTGACAATATAAAATATTGTGATGTGGATGACGTAGCGGGAGGTAGGGGTTGCGTGAACTCTGTGATTCGCGAGTGACGTCACATATCCCCACTCCGTCCATCAGTGTGCAACGCTCAGTAGACACCCCTTTCCCCGCGGTGACGTAACACGGGATGCTGCAGTTGCTACGTAGCCGTAAACAACTCCCACCAGCGCAGCCCAGCAACGCCTTTGTAAACACGACGGGGAGTCCGTGCAACGACTGTTCCTAGGCAGTCGGTAAACAAGACGTTACGCAACAGTGGTGCCTATTACATAACTGTTTTCTGTGTTGTCCGTAATGAGGCTAAATAAGGAGCAGCAAATACTATTCAACAGTGAGTTACAAGTTAGCCAGGGAGTCAGTCAGTAGTTAGAAGTGAGTGAGTGATCAGCAGCGCCAAAAAGAGTTGAAATGTAGCCGCCGCCAGAGACAGCTGAATTGGAACAGTTGCCAAGTTCAGTTGTAGCAGAAAGAAGAATACCGGAACGTGTGATCATAAGTGATAGTGTGAGAAGCAGATGCTCGGCTCACAAGAGAAATAATTGGGAGTGTGTAATACAGGTAACACTGGAATAGCTCCCGTATCGTACTGTGAATACGTGTACACTACTGAGGACAGAGTGGACAGAATAAATGTGTAGGGTTTGTAAATTGTGTAAACCCGTAACAGTGTTATAATTAATTGTAGCCAAGGCTTGTAGGTTAAATAAACCAATTAACAATCCGAACGGAGTCTTCAGTGGCAAAACACATTACAACATGTTGACAGAAACACATCTACAAATTATGCTGGAGACTGGGCAAAAGAAAGATTGAGTTAAAGATGGGAATAATACATCAAGAAAAATGTCATGAAAAAAGGAGAAATAACACGAGAAGAAAGTGAGAAGCAGAGAACCTTTGAGAAGATGAAGAGGCTTAGCTGTTAGCTGAATCATGTATAGTGGAAAAATTGAAAAAACATAAACTACGACAATTCAGTCCAAGGACAAGATGTCCAAATAAGAGTGACGAAGTATAAATTCAAACAAACATCTTGCTGTTCATTTGGGGAATTATGGCACATGTATTAAGCAGAGAAAAAGTTCTCAGAACAATGATCACTGTCAAGTTATCTTACAATCATAACTTGTAGTGAAAAATATCCACCACATGGACTCTATCTGCTGGACATACCATACCATGAGAAGAAATGGGTCCTACTCACCGTGATGGCTTTGCCCTGCAACTTGTGATTTTTTAGCCTCTGCAAAGCTCGGTATGCATCTTGTCGGCGATTCATACATATAAATGCACAGCCTCTCGGAGGGATCAAGTCGATGGACACGATGTCTCCATATTCACCAAATGTATCCGATAGTTCTTCCTGGTGCACCAACTTTGACAGGTGCCCAACCCAAAGAGTGGTACTGCATACTGGACGACAGAGACAATTACCACATGTTAATCCCTTGTATGCCTTGTACCAACTAGATTAGCTCAGGGTAGCTGCACTGAAACTACCACAAATGAAACAAGTTCATTAAATTAATTAATATCACTTTTCTCAACAGACAGCATCAGAGGTGACAGACCAACATTTAAAGGAAGGAATGGGCTTTCATATGAAATATTTATTTCCACAGGAAAGTAACTGGAAGTACTGGGGTCTTTCCGAGTAAATACATTTACCCAAGCAGCCCAAGCATTTCCAGCAGTAATTCTGTGGTCAGACTTGGCATATATGAAAGCATGTTTGCTGCCAAATTTGCTTATTAATATTTACAGTCTAAGAAAGGGAAACTTCAAGTCTCACAATACTGTGCAGTTGGCAGTCATCTTAACTTGGGGCACTACTTTATTTTCCAGGAAAAGCAGATTTCAAACTCCATGGTACTATGTGGTTGGTGGTTGGATTTTAGCTTGAGAGTTCATGGTATTTTTATTCAAAAATATAATGCTCATCAAGCTGGAACATGCATGCACTGCTGCAATAATGTAACACACAAGAGGTAAAGTAATATTAGTTGTCATTTCTTGTATGAGATTACAAATGAGAAATATGTTAATGCAACAATAAACACAATGCTTTTACAAGAAATTCATAAAGTAATAATCCTTCTCCAAGGTAACATGAACTCACCACACAAATGATCCTTCTTGATAGGAGGTAACCCTCGTTTTCTCCTCTCTCTTTCCTTCTCTCGTTCCTTCTCTCTTTCCCGCTCTCGTTCTTTCTCTCTTTCACGGTCTCTTTCTCGAGACCTTGTCCTAGAAATTAAATCAAGCTTGTTTTAATTCTATCGTATATTTAAATACAATTCTGCACTGATCTCTTATGAACACAACTTCCTTCATATATGAGGACTTTGTTATAGAGGAACCGCTCTGCAAAATGGTCACTGTCAATGCAAAACACATATGACATATCAGAGCCTGGGTCTGTCTGTGTCCCGGTATCACTTGGCACTTTAATCAGAAGACTGCAAACACAAAGCACTGCTGCAAAATCTAGTGGAACATTTCAGAAAAAAAAGTTTCTTGGTTAACTCCTTGCATCTCCTAACTAACTCCATGTAGCAGGCCAATCTTACAAAGCAAATAACAACAGCTCCCTCATTAAAGAAATTCATCAACTTTTAGGGAACCAGAAGGTTCATCATCACAGACACACAACACTGGGCCCTATCATGGTTCAGACAAATCCCCCCCCCCCAAAAAAACTATTTCTTTATAAGATCCATTTTCATATTACCCTTCCATCTACTCTACATCTTCTAAAAGGTCTCTTTCTTTCAAGTTTTCTAACAAAAATTCTGTATGCATTTCTGATGTCACATGAGTGGTATTATGCCCCATCAACCTGATCTTTCTCGACCTGTGCCCTTCTCTGCATTAAGAATCTGCTTCTATCTAAATGATTTGGAATACAATTATTTATCTCGACTCACAGAGTATGTACTCTTCCCTTCTAATCACAGATACACCCTATAACACTAGGCCTCTGTTAGAAATATGCATTGTGTCAATACTTTGTCTATCAGAACTCACCTCCTACGCCGAGATCGGGACCGTGACCTTCCTCCATCAGAAACAGATCTTGATCGTGACCTCCTTCCACGCCTGCGGTCTCGAGACCTTGATCGACTCCGCCGCCGCCGGTATATTTTGGAGTTGCTCAACGATGGGCTTCTTGAACGACTTCGGTCTAAGTTGATAATTTCTATAGAGTTTGTATCAGGGCTGTTAAAGATACCAAATAAGTCATAAATCAACAGATTCTGTAATTACGCTTCATCATCACAACATAATATTATAACCAAAATAACAGTCATCCCAAGAACTTAATAAAACAAAGTTCTCTATAAAGAATACTGCAATGTACAACACCTGTGAGTTACCATCAGCTGTTCCAGTAAACGAAACTAACCCTTATCATTCACAAAATGGGATTTTGAATTTCCTGGTAGCACAGGAGCTGACAGCTACATTAAGTTTGATGTAACAATTTACCTATTGGGATTAGGGAAACTTAAACTCCTCGGTACTTGCAGGGCTGGCAATCCTACTTCAACTCAGGAGTAATGAGATTATTTCTGACAAACTGCAATGCCCACCCAGCTTGAACACACGTGGTGGTATTAACAAAAACATTAACTGCACTATGCAAAGTGGCTGACCCTGATCAAAAAATTCCTTTATCAAACTTACAGGTGTCATGGGGTAAGGATCTGGATTGTGACAGCATTTACAGTGACACTCCTATTTGAGGTTCTTTGGGAGCAGCGAAAAATCTTTACTGGAGGAAATTCAACAATGAGATTACTAACCCAGTCACAGAAATACGAGTATAACATTAAATGGGGGAGAAACCATATGACGAGGAACTTCAAATTGGGATTCCACTTTCTTCCAAAACACTGATGTCAAGCACCAGGAGACAGCAATCCAAGAAATTCACTGTTATTATAAAACCCAAAGGTTCATCACTTCAAAGATGACATGGCATATGCAGTTTATCTGGTGGATGAAGGGCACTGGAGAAGGAGCTCCACAAAATGTTCATAGCAGCTATGACACAAATTGGGTTGCAGAACCATGAAGAGAAAGGATGTTCATCACTGTGTTCACAAAAGCCTATCATTTGGTCCTATCCTGAGCCAATTAAATCCTCTTCACACCATACAAGCTATTTCCCAAAGCTGTGTACATTTACAAGTAATTAAGGCAATAATTACCAACTAGATACTAAAACATGGAGATCCTGGGTTTGAAACCCACTCAATGTTAATGGATGTATTTTTTAATTTTTGCATAGGCAGAGACCTTGCAAAAAAGAGTCCTACCATATTTAAAAATTAATACAGAAACAAAACAGGACTCAGATTGATCCCTCATAAGTGAAGAAAAAATCTGAAATTTCACACATCCTTTTGCAGACTCACCCTGTTCTTTCCACAAATTCCACCTCAGAATCTGCTTGCTCGCCATCTTCAAGAGGGCTCTCTTTCTGTAGCGAAGAATGTCCCCCTACTGAGTGGTCAGCTGGAAGGGTTGGCGGGTATCCCGGGGGAGGCTGTGTCATGTCCATTACAGGAAATGTATATGCCGGCTTATGTTGCTCAAAGTCATGCTGTTCATATCGCATAACTTGTGGAGGTGGCTGTACAGTGTCCATTGGTTTCAATTCACATTCCGAAGCAAAGGGAAGATTCTAGAATAAAACACATGACAAGCATTTCACTTCAAATTCTGATGCATAAAGGATGTACAATATAAGATCTACATAGAGTGAACAAATACACTTTATGTTCATGCAAAACTTCAAGATAAAGTAATGTGAAAACAAGTACTTTCTTAGCTTTCTCACTTCCTATACACCGAGACTGCTAGGGTGCTCAACAACTTTTAACTTTTACTGAATGGGAATGGAGGATTTTAAAATCCCTGGTACTAGTGGGGTGGCAGTCAAATTTTAACTTGGGATAATAGTTAATGTGAGAACACAGGATTTTACATCTCCAAGAGCTATGGAGTTGGTGGCCATATTTGAATTTGGAAGGTAATGGAGTTAGCAGTGAAATATAATGCAATATCGAGCGAGCTGGCCAGACCACAAGCAGCACTGGAATAATGGAAAAGGGTTGAAACATCGAGTTCTGGCCTTATTACAAGAAACACAAAAAGTTACTCAGGGTTACCAATGCAGGAGGCACTATGCTACAAGCCAGAAGGCTGTGGGTTAGAGTCCTGATGAGGTCAGTGAATTTTTCATTTATCTAATCATTCCAGCCACACTATGGCCCTGGGGTTGACTCAGGACCAGGAATCTTCCTGGGGGGTAAAGGGCAGCCAGAGCATAATGCTGACAACCTCACCGCCATCCGTGTGCCGATTGTCTAGAAAAATTTGGGAGCCTCGACCTCTCTCAACCCTATGGGTCTCCACAGCCTGTTACAGGAATAGTTTCACCCTTTTTTTTAACCAGGGTTACCACCAGATGCAAAAAAAAAGATGTGTACAACAGTTATTTTTGATACTATTTTGTAAGCATGCAGGCAAAATGTGGTAAGAGATACAGCTTCAGAATGTAACACAGAATTTACTTAGGATCTCGCTGCCCTGAAATGTCAGTGGCACGGATTACCAATACAGCATCAGAACAAACAAAGTACAACAAATAACATGGAGATGGAAATGGGTCATTTTAGAACACAAAGAACACATTTTATGATCATTTTATAATTAATTTCCATTTTTTTTTGTTCAATTACTAAACTTCCAGAACTACTAGACAATATTAAGAACACAAGCAAATAGCAGCAGTTTTGATGGAATATATACTGTAGCCTGGTGATTACCCTTAAGATCAAAACATATAGCTATAAATAATAATAATAATATATAATAACTGTGTACAAGGCTGTGTGAGATAGGACACACAGGAGATGCCCAATTGGCTTGGCGATTTGTTCAGAAAAATGACTGATATGTCCAACAAAGATAAACTTCATGTGAAATTGTATTTTAAAAATGAACAGGACAGAACAACAAGAGTTATAGTTCTTGTTTTAATACTTACTTGGAAACTCAAGACAGCTTTGTTTGGTTTTCTTTTTAACATACAGGAAGGGGACAAGAGCTTCTCAGAAACCACACTCATGTTTCTACCAATAACATTTGAGCAATATAACACTTATAAATGTGTCAGTCTTTTGTAAATCCCAATTCACAAGTTAGTTACACATTCCTGTTACTGATTTACCAAGCTGCCTCCGTAGTCTAGGGGTAACGTTCCCACCTCATGACTCATGGTATGCGGCTTCAAACCCAGCAGAGGTCGTGGAATTTTTAAGGGCGGAAAAATTCAGGGAACAAGTCCTCCAGGAGGGACTTTAAGCTGTGGGTCCCGTGTCGTAGATTTACGGCACGTAAAAGATCCTCATGTCTCTAGGAGACCTCTGAGCTAAATTAGGTAAAAAGTTTCCCGCCCAGGTAGTTTCCAATGCCTCCAGTAGATGGGGAAGCATCGGGTACCACAGCCAGCCTCACTGGCTGAACGGGGCTAGTAGCGAGCACCAGTACCGGCAGGGTATGGAGACTGGTAGAATATCAAAGGGGGACGTACAATAGACTATTAGTCACGGTGCATAGGGAAACCCACCCCCTTTAATAATAATAATAATAATGATTTATCCAGGGAAATTTATTTCCTATCCATCCTGGATAATCAAGAGCCTACCGAGTGTTTATGCACTTTATATATGAGACAAACTCCGTCTTAAGTGCAACAATTTAATTGTGTGAGTGTAATAGGATGCTTAAATACAATATTGTTTATGCATTTATTGACAACCTTGCCATCACCAAGTGTCTTCAAACTTTCAGACGAATAATCATATGTCATCCCCTGGCATATCTGAATTACACTCCGCCTAACCATACCTACATCTAGGGAGTGGGTATCAAGACAGCAAGACCATCTTAAGTGCATGTGACCATATTCTGGTTAGCCTAAAAAGCTGCACTCACAGGAAGAGTTTGAGCCAGATGTTTGTCGAACTCTTCCTCCTGCTGCTTCATCTCTTGCAGTTTCCGCAGCTTTTCCTCCATCTCATGCTGCTGCTGTTTCATCTGCTGTTGACTCATTTGCTGCTGTAAATTCTGCAGCTGCCGCATGACTTCTGGGTTTGCCAGTATGCTGCACAAACATGTACACTTTGTAAAATTTGTGTAAACTGACCTGACTGTAAAAGTTGCAAATTTTGTCAAACCATTAATTATGGATAAGATTTTCAAACCATTATTAATTTCTAGGCATACAAGATAGAAATTTATAAGACACTTGCTAGACAAACATCATCTTTACTCACAGACAGTTAAGTGATAAGACTGACACCAACAGAAATGTGTTTCATGAGGTCTGCATGACACACCCTTATGTGCTGCAAGAGACATTTTGAAGGAACTACAAATTTCATAAATAACAGAATTTAGAGAATAAAAAAGAAACAGAAAAGAATATACTGGCAGGTCTCCACAAAACGATTTTTAAATATCCGAAACCAAGAGGAAGCAGACTGGGAAGACCTCTGAAACAACTGTAGGATTCTGTTTTGTAATAACTGTAACCAGGCCATGTTGTGGTGTAGTTGGTTGAGGCACTATGTCACAAGCTGGAAGGCCACAAGTTCAATTCCTGATGAGGCCACTCAATTTTACAATTGCTCTAATCCTTCCAGCCACGCTATGGTCCCAGGGTTGACCCAGCCTCTAACAGAAATGAGTACCAGGAATCTTCCCCAGGGTAAAGGGCAGATGGTGTGTAAGGCTGCAACCTCACTCCCATATGTGAGCCAACTGTCTAGAAAAAGTGGGAGCCTTGACATCTTGCAACCCTATAGGCCTCCATTGCCTGTTACAGGGACAGCATTGCCTCTTTAATACCTGCATCCACCTCACTACACCTAATACTGGAAAGAGTGAAAACAATGCAGAAAAAAATTGTGGGATTTGAGATTCTCACGGCAGTGACTATGAAGATTACTGCTTTCTGGGAACTGATGCTGTGCAGTCTAGCAGATCTTCACCAACACATTAGAGGAAACTGCGGCCTCCACTTTTAGTATACCTGATGATGAATGCACCACTTCATACAAGACACAAATAACAATCTACCAGTCTACATGGTGTCATATCCCAGAAGGCAGTAATCTTCAGAAGAAGGTGCTTTTGTCAGGTACCAGAAGATGACAAGAGCTTGCACGAAATTGAAAAGGGAAGACAATGGGAAGAGAGAAGACACTTTTCATCCACTGAACCATGCAAAATGGAAAAGATGTTGCAAGGAGATTCAAAATGACCGACAGATAAAAATACAGTTATACGAGACATGATGTTCTGATGGCAGTTCACGTCTGCAGGAACGCTCTGGGTACAGTACAATGTACAAATTGAACAGTTGTTATTTCTGAGGAACTCGAAGATTTTATGAGGCTTCAGGTTTGTTACAGAGGAACACAATTCAGGGCAATTTTCTTACAGCACAATGCTATACCCCGAAGGGAGGCTCTTGTGAATGGCAATGAACCTTCAGGTTCCATAAAAGAGGTGCAAAATTTGCTTCCCAATGATTCTGGCCCATGGCCTTAGTCAGATATAGCCACAAGACCACAGTGACTACAATAAGTCTAGCTGAGTCCAGCAAAATGTCAGGTCAAGGGACTAATCCTGTGCAGGCTGGTTACACCCACTGCACACCCATGAGGTTATGCACAAATACAGAGGACTGGGAGAAAGATGACTGGAGATGAAGAATTGAAGTTCCCACAGAAGAACCTGCTTCAATGTCACTATGCCCACTACAAACCTGAGCTTGAAACCAGGCATCTGCACTGACACTATGACATATATGCTCCATGCTTCGTACCTTTCTAGGCCAGTTGACTGTTGTGGCTGTGGGGATGGAGCATTGTCATCATCATCATCTGACCCATAGTCAAAGTCCAAGAGCTTCTTGTCAAATTTCACTTGGTCCGTTTCCTGCCGAGCTGACGAGTCCTGCTGCTTCATAAGCAACTGCTGCAAATGCTGCAACTGCTGGATTATATTTGCATCCACGTTGTTACTCGTTTGGTTTGACGTCTGCAGAACAGAATACATCACAGAGCTAATTAAGCTAGACTGATAAGCACCTTATACAGTGACAAAGTCGATGCAACAAATGACTAGAGAAGATTACATAATAAATCATTTGAAGTATACACCTAATGGTATTAGGGCAATTAAGATAGTTGTAGCACCTGATGCACCAAAACCTTATCTAGCCGTTGCATAAAATATTTACCAGTGTTGTTTATATATCATCATCATCCTCATCAGTAATCTGTCAGACGACAGGTCTACAATCTCTTCCAAAACAATTCCTCCACTTATTGCTATCTAGAGCTTTCTCCTTCTTCCTTAAAAAAAAATGCTGTAATTTTTTTCAAAATATTGGGGTTCTTCATATGTCATGGCACGTTTGGAACCCATTATGTCCACATTTTGCAAATTAGGCGTTAGCATGTGAAGGTCTCCACACTACCGACAGTGAAGTTCACTTGCACAATTAGAAACACAGTGACTACCTGCAATAAGACTCTTAGCTTTGTTAACATTCATATGATTAACTTGTGTTTGCAGCCATGAGAGAGAACAGTCTTTACCAGATGTCCGTAAATCCAGATTAACTCTCATACACAGTTCATCATCCATACGGAACACACAGGTACACTGTGTGGGCACAACGCAGAGTTTTAGTATGTTATACCAGTTGGTACATACAGTAACCACCATGATTTAAAGTGTTAATAGTCATGGAGTCATTCACCATGATACAACATATGCCGTTCAGCAGTCATTAAGTAAAGCAGTTATATAGTGAAATTACCTGAGATTTTCCGGACAAGAGATTCATTCCTGCTTGTCCTGACAACTGCATCAGAGTGGTGCTGGTTACCTCCATCTGTGACTGATTCATATTCAGCCACATAGGTGTACTTGTAGCCTCTGGTTTCCCAGCATTCATAGGAGTTTTGCTGAGGTTAGATGGTGTTCTGTTCGCAGCAGAGGATGGAGTCTTGTTCACAGTGCTCAAATTCAGAATCCCTGATATCGACCCATTACTTGTATTTGATACAGCTGTTTGTTGTTCCTTGTGGATTGGGTGGTTTGGATCCGCAAGATCAAACAGTGGTTGAATTACTTCTGACTGGAAAACTGAATTCTTCTGCCAGAGATTCAGTACTCGAATTACCTTACTCTGAAACATAACAGACACTGCTGACACCTACTTGTATTTTCTTCCAAATCTTTCAATTTTGAGGGTGGTATAAAGAGTACAAGAAAAATTATAGGAAGTGTAAAAGTGCACAAACTTTTTACCAGTTACATATATTACTTGCTTTGTGACAGTCATATAAAAAAAGTTTCAGTGTGAAATTGCATAAATTGAATATAAGTGTCCCTTTTCACCTGGCATTCTTTCCGCCACCCATACAACACCCCTAATCCTTTTTCTCCCTACTTACCTCAGTCAGTCAGAACATAATTCAAATTGCAGTGAGAGTTATTAATTGAAACTGATCTGGATTAATTTGGTGTATTACAGTGAAACTGCAATTTTCACTCATGTGTAATTAGGAGTACATGTAGCTAGGGATATACACTGGATATGGAAATACCAAAGATGAAAAATGTATTTAAAACGTACTACATACATATTTTAATATATTAAGCAGGAACTCGGACATGGAGAAAAGGTAGAATATTAACTAACAGCAGCTGAGACGAGATTTTTAACAAGAGCAGATAACTTGGAACCAACGTATGTTGCATATATATCGCTCACCTTATCTTCTGGGGGACATCTGAAGAGATTTATAAAAGTTGTCTGCATGTTCTTCGCAAATCGAGGCGCAAAAACATCTTTTTCTGGGCCGAACTGGTGCCTAGACTGCCGAACTATTGAATCGATCACATAGAGGCCAGGTACTTTATATTCAGGTTTGCACTGAAATCAGAATAAAAAATGTTAGAAAAGTGGTACACAGAATATAGGCCTACACATTTAAAACTGAGACTTCGAGGTTTGGTTGCACTGAATATACAGATAATGGCTGTCAGGAATGTGATGCCATACAGTCTGGTAGGTAGGTACCAATGCTGCCTGTCATTAGGGTACAAGATGTTCTACCCTGAAGATAGATGCAGCAGGTTTCTCTGACACACTGGTACCTATGTACAAGGTTATGCTTTGCCATACCTCAATCTAAAAGAGATACAATAATACCATCAAAGTTATACAAAAAGCACAAAACGCACCGAAGATCAACAGCATGAACATATATGATGAGATATCTTTGGGGTGTGCAGCAGCAGGAAACTTCCTGGGGGTAAAGGGCGACCAGTACTTAAGGGTAACAACCTTACCATCTGTGAGCCAACTCTCTAGAGAACATGTGGAAGCCTCAACGTCTCACAACCTTGTTACAGGGATAGCTTTACCTTTATGTTTACAAAAAACTCATTAAAGCAGAATAAGAGACCAGCACATTGTTCCCATTCCCTTTTTTTTATCGCCAGTGGGGTGGGACTAAGTCCCTTGTACTGCGGCCACTTCTGGCCTATTGTACCAGCCCCAGATGATAGGTGAGGGTGATTGTGGAGCAATTGGTGGAATGAAGATTGGCAGGGGAAACCGAAGTACTTGGAGAAAACCTGCCCTAGCACCACCTTGTCCACCACAAATCCCACTTGACCAGACCCAGGATTGAACCCGGGTCATCGCAGTGGGAAGCCAGCGACTAACCGCTTGAGCTATGGCGCGGCCTCACTGCTCCCCTTACTTGTATCCATACTGCTTTGCTTTCTCCTCTTCCTACCCCTGCTATCTCAAAGAGACACTTGTAACTGGTAAGAAAAATACAAAAAGCAAAATGACATGAAGCTTATACTAAGCCTGAGCACTTTATGGGAGAGTGTTCAGGTAGACACAAAGTCTTTAGCAGGGTCAACATGAAGAGGGCAAAAAAAATATAGTCAGATGTCAGAGATTCTGTGAACTGGCCAAAATACCGAAGATTCTTGTGGCAATGATACAATGATTAGATGAGTAAGGAGCAATGGTGGAATAATGATTAGCAGAGGGAAATCAAAGAAAAATCAGCTTCAGTGCCACTTTGTTAATCATAAATATCACATGAAGGCACCATACTGAATATGAGTTTCTGCAGTTCTTTTTAAGCGGGTTATTTAATGAAGCTGACAATATTATGATTAATGAATGCTGAGAGTTTGGTGGAATGAGAATTTGCAGGGGATACCAAAGTACTTAGTTAAAACCTGCCTCAGTGCCACCTTGTTCACCAAAAATCCCACATGGCTTGGCTTGGTATCAAACCATGGCCACTGCAGTAAGGAGCTGGGGACTAACTGCCTGAGCTATGACATGGACTACATAAAAGACACTACAGTAAAATAGCCTGTGATGAGATTCTCATGACACTGAGTACTAAGGATAGTTTTCTAGGTTGTGGCACCATGCAGCTTGATAGATAGGTACCAACATCTTGAGGAAATATTGCAACCTCTGTACTCAGACACAAGACGGAAGATGATGGCAACAGCTTTCCAAAATTTGGTATGTATTTATGAAACTATATAGCATCCCATTTCAGAAGGTTATAATCTTAAACTAATGCCACCAATAAAACAGTCCCCTTCCCATGGGTTTATGCTTCCATACAAAATTGACATCCATGAGATAAGTGAAGACTTGCAAGACAAATGACAGGAAAAGAGATCGAACATCTAAAGCTGTGGAATGTGGTCTTATATACCCTCCTATATTTTTAACCATGTACACATACCTTCTGTATAAATTTCTCTACGCTCTGTACAACATGCTTGTAGAATTTAATAGCTTTAATTGCGCCTCTTGTGATCGATGTCATCTTTGCTTTGGAAATTGGAGGTTTGACCTCATACAAGGCGGAAAGCTGCAAAATAAATTTAACCATCTTAAACAAAAAAGTTCAAACATTACGTCACTAAATATAACACACTGCCACAGACGATACACTTTTCTTTATGTAACACTTCGTTTATAATTTCACAGATTGAAATACGTGTATGGGAAGAAATTAAAGATCAAACGCGTTTTACTATTAGCTTAACACACTGCATCGTACTCAAGTTATAAGCAATTACCATGAACACATGTATGTAACGTTAAAATAATAAATAATTGTATTTTCAGTACTAACACATCGATATGAAATGGAAATTATAGCCAATTAATGATTAAGTACGTATTCCTTGAAATTTGCTACGCCTGAAACGGAAGCCCAACGCCGAGCAATATGACTAAATACTTTAAGACTATATATTAAAGCTAATTACTTGGTCCGTAACAAAAACACTCATACAGAAGGGGTAACCGATGCAACTTATATAAGGGATTAGGTTTATTTAGCTTTGTACGCATATAACATTTCTCAGTGGCTTCTCTCCGTATCAACGCCTTTCGAAGTGCTTCAAATTCATGTATCAACGGACGAACCGTTCATCACTAACCTCCGCGTTGAATGCTTTTACTGCATCCATGATTCTCACTTATTTTTGCCTCTTTAATTCCGGTCCAAGAAGTCCTCAACTGCCTACATGCTCATGTAATTATCAGCAAACGCACAATACTTCACCATCCCCTACAGTCTAACATGCTCCAAAATGGCTCTTTTCCCATGATGCTACCGCTAAGGATAAGATACACCCATTGGTGAATTTTGGTTCAATTTCACTGTTCCTCTGATTTAGCTATTTCGTAGTAGTGCGACGTTGCAATGTCGACTGTTAAGCGGTGGTAATCGAAGCGTGTGCTCTACTCCCGAGGACTGACAATGTAATTTACGTTTTTAGACGCGAATGCTGCCATTTGTTTAGTATAATATTGATTAACTTGACAGAAGTGTTACATGTAGTGATTTGCTTGTCACATGTGCAATCATTATGGCCCAGCTTTACATCTCCCATTTCTTTATTGCCATTTTATAGATTTGTAATGTTAATTTTCGCATGACTATGTATTGTATAAACCCTTCGCATGCTACATTTTATTAGGTGGAATGTATGGATCATTATACCGTTATCCGACTTATCTGTAAAGTTGCTGACATGTTTGCGAACATGCAAAGCAGTCTAATCAAATTATATGGGCCAGGCGATCGACAGATAAGAACCAAACATGGCCAAAACATGTTATAACTAGTAGAGTCTAAAGGGTTCTCACGATGGTGTATAACACACAGAATTACAGGGGTTTTTGGACTTTTTCCATCGTCTGGTACTCAGTTGGGCCTCTTAAAAAGAGCCCAACTGAGTAGGTGTTCTCCCGCCTTTGCCTGAGCACGGAATCATCCAGTTTCCGAACCGTCGTGTTTTCTATTCTCTGAAATACCGGATGATGGCAGAAGTCCAAAAACAGTAATTCTGTAGGTGCTAACTAGGTTAGTCTTTGCACAATTAATAATTACCAAAAGGCATCAAGATTCTTGTCATTAAACATATGGTGTGCATGCTACCTAAATATGCAGCAGCCCTGCCTATGATTTATTTTGTGCTTGCTATGTTCTTTATCATGCAATGTGTACCTGTTACTGACATTGTTTTTTATGGTAATTTATTTTCCTGAGTACATTCATAATGTAATTTCTAACCAGATGCATGAGAAGAATGTTCTTCCATGTCAGCATTTTTTAAAGTACAGTTGACTGTTCTTGGATATAGGATGATGCAGTGTGTAAGTCTGTTAATGTCATTACAATCTGGGGTTGTAACAATATAGGGGTTTCAGTAACTGTGTATATACATTCGGTCAGTAGACCTCTTGTACAGCTGAATAAAGTTGAATCTTCTCACCCCCTGCCTTAGAAAACTAGATGTTTCATTATTCCAGTGCACAGTTATATAGAAGGGATACCCAGCTGGTTCTTTTCAGATGGATAGCATGAACAGTGGGCAAGCTTTTCTTCCATGAATGTACTTAACCATGAGCATAAATCCTACATCAACCAACCCCATAAGTAAAAACAGATTCCTTTATTAAGGGATTAAAGTACCCGTTTTTAAGTATCCTACCTGGAACACTTTCTACAAAAAGAAATGAAAGTTACCATGTGATCGAGGACTTTTAATAATGGCAACCAATTTTATGGAACAGAATCCTCCATCAGAAACTAATGTTAACCAGCTTTCCTAAAAATTCACCATCTTTTTTTATGGAACCCAAGGGTTCATTTTTGTTTAAAAGAGCTTGTGATACCAACATCCAATAAAAATTAAAGCTATCCCTGTAACAGGCTGTGGAGGCCCATAGGTTTGTGAGGTGTTGAGGCTCCCACATTTTCTAGACGGTCGGCTCACAGATGGCAGTGAGGTTGTCAGCCTTATGCACCGACTGCCCTTTACCCTCCACAGAGATTCCTGGTACTCATTTCTGTTAGTGGCTAAGCTGATGCCAGGGCCATAACGCCGCTGGAAATTGAAAAATACAGTGACATTCCAGTTTGTAGCATAATGCCTCAACCAACTGTGCTACCTAGATAAACTTTGTATCTGCATAGCCATTAGGAGCTAGGATAGCATAATCAGTATAGTGACTGGCTACAGGTTGGACGACCGAGGGGTCGGAGTTCAAGCCCTGGTAGGGTGAAGAATTTTCTTTTCTGCATGTCATGCAGACTGACTTGAGGTTCACCCAGCCTCCTATCCAGTGGGTACATGCGTCTCTACCCAGGGTAAAGCAGCAGGGACGTGAAGCTGACCATTCACCTCCAGCAAGTGCTGAGGTCAAGAAAATGTGGATCTATACACCCACTCTCCCATACACCTTCATGGCGTATGCACAGGGACAGCTTTACCTTTTTTACCTATCTGCATAGCCATTAGCCTGAATTTTGCCAGGAAAACTTCTTCATATAGGTTTATTACTGTATGAGCATGTTTCTCATCTCAGAGAGGGCTGGGTGAATAGCCCCAATGTCTACAATTATGGTATTTTGCTTTATCTGGTTTTCATCTGCCACTGCTGAATACTCAGTGTCCAGAGGGTACGATTTACCTTCCAGCGACTGAGCTATGATGAATACATTAGGCAGTGGAGAGGACCTACCATTTAAAATGGGACACAGTGTTCCCCACATTCACAAAGGTTGGACTTTGTTAGATATGAAGAACAGAAAAGCATATGGAAATATCTACACTAGCTGCTTGGGATTATTGGGTTTTTGGACTTTGCACACTGTCTGGTATTCTAATGAACATAATGTTTTGGAAACTGGATTGTTCTCATCCTCCGGTGAAAAGGTGGAAGGTACCTACTCTGTTGGGTTCATGAGAAAGAGCTAACCTCTAGCTAAGCTAGGCTGCAGTGAGTGAGATTTGCTCTTTCCAAATGGACAGAATAGAATAGGCGTTTTCTGCCCCCTAACCTGAGAACAAAAACAGGTCCAGTTTCCAAAACAGTTCATTCATTGGCATCTCAGATGATGGACAAAGTCCAAAAACTCAGTAATGCTGAGTATTATACATCATCTTCAGAACTCTTTAGAGCTGACCACACTAGCCAATTTCAAGCCTAAGGTCTTTGGCTTTAGAGTCCAGACTTTTGTTCTGGGAGCACTGGAATCTGACTTTAATTCAGTCATTTAAAAGAAATTCAAATGATCAATGTCTGTGCATTTATAATGAATTATGGATAAAAGAATATTTTAAACAATAAAAAATGCAATTTAGACAACCTGTGGTCGAAATAACGCAAAAGAACTCCTCCTCCTCCTCCTCCTTCTTCTTCTTCTTAATGTTTTAGGAACTATAAATTATGTAAAGGTGTGTGAATCAACAGCCAAACTTTGAAACCTTGCATGCTTTGTGCTATGAAAATAAACATTTCCCTGACAAATTCTGCAACTTTTTGGATCTAATATTTTTATGCCTAGTATTTTATTTTACAGCGCTGCTGGTGTCTGTATTGCATAGCTGTATGCCAGCAACTAACACAGGGACTTTTTTGAGCAGTAATTTAGCTGGTTAATAAATTCCCTTCTGATATTCTACCTGTGTTTATACAAGTCTGCCATCGAATGGTGTCTTGGGCCTTTTCAGTCCAGTTCTTTGCAGCTTGTTTATCTAATGCCAGTTTTAGAATTATCTTCCGATTAATGCCATGTCTCCTAAATGGTCTTGTACCTTAAAATTCTGGAACCGAAACCTTACAGCATCTTCTCACTTCTATCTCACTAATGTCATCCTTCTTAAGGGGAAGTTGATTATATAATTATTTAAGTCATGAAATACCAATCTTGTTCCAGAAATTTAAAAAAATGGATTTTGGCATCACAGCTCTGCCTGTCAACTGCCAACATTTGAGCACCAACAAGACTCAGATGCGACAGCCATCATATTAAACCCAACAGCATGCTAATACCAGTACGATGGTGTGTGATTTGCATCAGGCGCTACCTGACACTGTCCATCATCTTGATTGTGTGTTTCACATCAGCTCTGAGCATCTTACTATATAAATGGACAGAGTTAGATGTCAAATTGGACTGCTTGACAAAACTGAACGCTGAACCACTGACCACAACATTCGGCAGTCCTGTCTTGTCCAAAACAATGGACATTAAACTGCAGCAGTTTACTGCCAGGGAGCTTATATCACAGAAATTTGCAAACAAGTCTGAACTCAGACTGAAGTGGTTACGTCAAAAAGTTGAGAAAATTTCTCAGAAAGTAAGGCGTTCCCAACCTGTCAAGCTGGTAGAGCAGGAAGGATCTATTACACACCCCAATTACAATGTCCATATATTTTATTATGCCTGGTATGGGAATGTCGCTGTGGATGGACAGTGGAAGCACTGGAATCATGAATATCTTCCTAACTGGAAGAAGGAAGACAGGAAGATCTATCCCACAGGAATGCACGAGCCCCCTGGAGACATCAGTTCCAATTTTTACCCTCTTCTAGGTTGCTACAGTTCCAGAGATCCTACTGTTATTGATAACCACATGAGACAGTTGAGAAATACAAAAGTAGGTATGTATTTGGAAAACACTGTATAAAAGAATAAATTAAGAACAATGGGCATGACCAACCTTTGCACCATGACCTGTCCTGCTTCCAGAACAAAGTGACGAGTACTGGGGGCCTAACTGTCAACTGGGGCCCACAAAATATGATATTTCTGCTCTGGGAAAGGCCAGCATGTTAGGGTGATGGTATAATGCTTACACTTCTCAGTGTGGACCCCAAGCTTGCTAGTAATTGAGTCAAATAGCAGTCAGGTTGTCAGCTTAACAGTCATCAAGAGCAAGATATTTTTCTTTTCTTCACTGTGTCTAGACTGGCTTGGGCCCAGCCTCCTATCCAGTGGTTATCAGGGGCTCTTTCCCAGGGTTTGAAGTAGTTTGGATACCTAGCTGACCACCCATCTCCATCTAGTGTTGAAATTAAGAATGTCCAAACTATATTTGCATTTTCCTGTGTGCCTGTACGACATGCTAAATTAAACACAGCCACAGCTTTACCTTTTATATAATGAGTTGATGCATAAAAAAGTAAGCGATATATTCAGAACACTGGTTAAAGTAAATAATCATACCTAAGGCATGTGAACGTTACTGTTGTAATGCAGGGGTTGTGGTCGTGTCCTGGTACCCACCAGGCATGTCTGACTCTCAAGGTAGCTCTCCAGACTTGATCCTGCCATTGCTGCTAGATTCTGCACAGCGCCATGACCTCCGAGTGGCTGCGCACATTGAACCTTACAGGGATCGCAATCCTATCAATCTCTTAGAACATCTCCGCTACGTTATCAGCCAGTATGGAGCACACCCAGCATTCTATCGGATGCGGCTTAGGGGCAGGAGTCTTCCTGTGTTCTATGTCTATGATTCATACCTAACTCCTGCTGCAGCTTGGAAAGAGTTGCTGAGTGCCAAAGGGAACCTAAGTGTGAGAGGAACTCATCTAGATGGAATTTTCTTGGGACTTCTTGTGGACATGCAACATAAATATGACATCAAGAAGTCACACTTTGATGGTATGTGTCTGATGCTATACAGGCTCAGTGACCAATGGTTATTTATTTGTGGTTATTTAAGGGTGATTTCAAGAATCTCAGGTCAACTTGAAGTACTGTTTCATTTACTTATTCTTAGTTTACTTTAGTGGCATTAATGTCACTCCCATATTAACAGATTCTTGTGTTTGCCATCTTCTTATTACTGACTGTAGGGTATTAAAATTGTAAGGTTGGGGTAACCTCCAATGGCATAACGTTCATACAAAATTTATTGAAAATTGGTCAGTTCATACACTGAAACTGAGACACAGACACATACAAGCACACTTTATATTCTCGCAAGCCTATTTTTTTTCCTTAAGGAAACAAAGTGGGCTAAGAAATAAATCGTTCTTCTACTCTGACTCCTAACTACACATCACCCCCCAGAAAATCATAATTTTAACATTCATTGCCATTAGAACCTCAAATCTCATATATACTAAGAAATGAGCACAGTAAAATGAAATTGGAACTTTGTTTGAATGTGTGAATACATAGTGATAGTAATGAATGTCTCGTTTCAGGCTTCTACACCTACTTCGCGACTAATGGCTTCACATATGGGTCATCATGGAAGAACTGGCGGAGCCTCAATAAGTTTGCAAGACAAAACTCTCTCCTGTTCGTACCGTCCGTGGGTCCTGGGTACATTGACGCACAGATCCGTCCCTGGAATGTGGCTAACGTTCGACACCGTCGCCATGGCAAATATTATGAGGTGGGGTGGCGCAGTGCTCAGTCAGCACAGGCCCAGCTCATCTCCATCACTTCATTTAATGAGTGGCATGAAGGAACACAGATTGAACCGGCTGTCCCAAGAGCCACTGAATCATTTACATATTTCGACTATGAACCAGAAGGTCCTGATTTTTATCTTAACCTCACCAAGTGGTGGGTCAGTGAGTTTAGCAAGAAACAGGAGGGACAGTAAATTTAAACAGCAACTGATGCTGTACTCTTACGGTCTTAATTTACATTCCATAAAGCATTAAATATGTATATTTTAAGTGTCAGCTTACTGAAGATGTGTAAACATAGAAGTGAGATTTGAGGTTTTCACATCACTGACATTACTGGCTTCTGCGATATGACACTGTGAAGTCTACTACACAGGTACATTTTCAGAGCATTTCCCGTTGCCTCTAACTTGTAGCTGGAATTCCATATATCGTACAATTTTTTCCTTTCGGATCACTTCTGTAAAGATGTAGGCAACATGTTCCTCTGATATGTTGATACATATATGTCAGACTACATGGCACCCCATCGCAGAAAACCATAAACTTCGTTACAGGAGTGATGGCTGACTAGTTTATCTGTGCTACAAAATGTTAAAACTGTTTTGTTTTTATGCTAAACCAGTATTGAAGTAGAGATATTTCATCTATCATGCAGTACTGCATGATGCCCAGTGTTCATGGCCCAGGTTCCAAGAAATGCAGTGTTACCTCTGATTATTTATATTCATATTATGAATTATTCTTTTACAAGTTCATTTTCAGGTGCCATTGTTTGTTTAATTTAAGATTATTACAAATAATGTGATGTTACAGGAACATTGTGTGTTTCTACCAGTCATGTTTTGTTATCTTTTAAATCCTATGACTTATTACTGGAGGATATGACCACTTTATAAATTGAAAATTACATAACTTTGAATTATCCATTCTCTTTATTCATGTTCTCTCCTCTCTGTTTGCTCGGATAATAGACTTCGTATTGTATGTTCATGTGAACATTGTTGGTTAACTATTCAACAGATGCCACTAGAGCTGCAATCAAACAAGATGAAAAATGAGTGTTGAGATGTCACATGGAGAGAGACATGGCTATAAGACTGATGTTGCAAGATGCTTCTAGTCAGACTTGTCATTCATTGTAATGCTAAGAATACTGTACTACTCAAAACATAATTATTTATCTATAGAAATTAGTATTATTACCACATTATTTATTATTGTATATTTATTAAAATAAATACAATCAATCTTCATCAGTGGCACTCAAGTTCCATACGCCAACACAGCGAAATATCTTGGAATAACTCTAGACGCCAAGTTACGGTGGAAAGAGCATATCAAGAAGAAACACGATGAGCTCAACAGTAAGTTCAGAAAAATGTATTGGTTGCTTGGACACAATTCTGAGCTATCAATCCACAATAAACTTACATTATACAAACTCTACATCCAGTTTTGAGTTATGGTATCCAGCTCTGGGGCTGTGCCAGTGAATCCAATATTCAAGTGATTCAACTCTATCAGAACAAAGTGCTAAAGTGTATTGTCAACGCATCATGGTACGTTTGTAACAGTGACCTCCATCGTGACCTTGGGATCAAGACGGTTACAGATATCATCACCAAGTCCGCCACCTCTCATGAAAAGAAACTCCAAAACCATGTCAACAGTGAAGCGTCCAGACTTTGCAATGTGAACAATATCATTAGACGACTCAAACAGAAGGTGAATAAAAAAAAGAAACCGTTCAAACTAGTTAAATGTTAAAGTACTAAGTAATTCAGTGGAAGTGAATTAGTTTTAATTTACATAGTATATTAGGTTTAGAAAAAATTAATCATGAGTTATTCAACTAGTTTTAATTGTAATTAAGTTCTGCATTGCCCAGTCTTTAATTATTTAATAAAAAAAATTAAATGTATCAATCCAAAGAAACTTTGGTAGTAATATGTCATGGTATGTTCAGCTAAGATTTCACAGAAAGAACGAAACCTGGCCTGTTGCTTGTATCTGAAATGTGAATTCTGAAAAGTAAGGACAAGAAGACACTGAAGGCACAGCAAATGAGATTTCTGAGGCAAGCTGCTGATACGTACATGAAGAGGCCACATGAAACACTCAGCAACTTTGTGTAGCTAACATAGTGGAGGATGCAGAGGAATGCAGAAGGCAGTCGACAGCCTGCATGGAAAGGATGACAGATAACAGACTGCCTATAAAAGCAATACAGTTAGGGGCTCAGAGAAGAAGACATGTTGGCAGACCTTGTAGAAGGTGGTTGGAACAGCAGTAAGACTTGGAGCAGGCCTTAGCACACTAAACCTTGACATTACAGAAGAAGGTGAATAATAATAATACAGTTCATTTAGCCCTGCTACTGAAAGATTTCACCGTATGTCACTGCAGAATGTATAGCATGGCAAATAAGTGCACTCACATGCTCAAATCCTGGATGATGCTTATAATTTATGCTGGGAGAGGGTTAAACATGAAATGGTTTCCGCCACTAACCATTCCAGGAATGGTAATAATTGTGATTCACAACCGTTGTCGCTGTGAGCTACCCTGGAAGACCATATGTACATACATATATTCTAAAGTTACCAATCTTATGTGGCTGATAAGTAGGCCAGTTTCTTCTTAGATATATATAATGATATATTTGATTGTCAGTGAGCTTCACATAGATGTCAGCACATGTGCATGGCTGTTTTAAGCTGGACTGATGTATTATTGTTGTTTACAATTTTATAATACTTTTTTAAATTCATGTATATAAATGTATTTATTTTTTGTTGGTATTTATAAATATAAAAATCCCAAAAAGATTAATTTATTAGGTGTTTAATTTGAGCCAGTAATCTTTTTGAACCACCAGTGTGATTCATGTATAACATATTTTAGGAAGAAATAACCCAATAGTTCTAAAAATATTTCCTGTTTATGTGGTTAGAAAATTATTTTTTTTTTTATGCCGGAGGATGATTAGTAATTACAAGCTGTAAGCCTTGATGTTGCCATGGTAGTGACTGTCCTTGTCATCTGCGGTGCGAAACCCTGTAGTCTAGCAGAGGGGTTCCAGTGTTATGGGGAAACCAAGCTGCTCTCTGCTTCGACATTATAGGAGGGTAAGTCTAAATGTGTGGATTTTGGAAGAGGGAAGATGTTATTGGTGGCACTGTTCTCCTTTCTTCTATTGGTTCAGTCCAGGCCTCAGCATCTGCAAAACACTGGAATGATCCACCAGACTACATGGCATCACATCCCCTTCATAGCAACCTCTGTGAGAACCTCAAGTCTCACAGAGTAAATTAAAGTAATGTAGAATGGATTGAGCTGTCTCAACATTGACTCTAACTGCAGATTTTGGTTCTAGGGTGTTCGTTCAACTTTTGGGTCATAACAGCAGAATAGTAGCTAATTACATGAACTTCTGCACATTTTTTAAAGTATTTTAACCACTTTGATTTTCTCCCACATTCTGATCACAAACCATGATAATGTTTTTGTATCTTCTGCATATGGTTATCTATTTACCAGTTTTTGACCCTTTCTGTGTTATGAATAGTTTCTCTTACTAAAATGCACCTGCCACATTTGCTTAAAATAACTAATAATAGTGAATTAAGCATTACCTTTTGAAGTAGATGTATATCTGTATGTACAGTTTTTTTAACCCTGACATTAGGTGGAAACAAAATACAAGCTCCAGGCAAGATTTACAGTTTTGGGGGCCCCCATCAATAACAAATATTTATGTTTTGAGAATTTTTTTGCTGTTCTTATTCCCTATAGTAACAAAAAATACAAAACTAACTTTTTAATATTTTTTTATAAGCAAATTTCTCAAATTATGGATTCTATTTTTGCCTTGTGGAGGCCCTGGGCCGACTGCCCTAGTCACTCTGCCTTAAATCCAGCATGGGGTTAGCTTCACTGTCATGCCACTTTATCCCTGGTACCATTTGCATAGATGGCTGGGTAAGACTCAGAACTGAGCTGGACACAGGGCAAAGAGAAAATTCTCTCCTGGGAATCAAAACCTGCCCCTCCAGCTCATTGCCAGCCACTATATTCACCGAGCTGTCTTGGCTAATACTGATGGAAATATATCTTTCATGAATTTTTCTTGAGAATTCAAGCTGTTTAGTTCTGTCATCTTATTACTAAAAGTATGTGTAGGTTGCCATGGATACGCACAAACAGAGAAGGTATTTTTAATAAACAAAACTTAACATGAAAAGGGTTGGAGGGTCTCTGAGTTAATTCCTTAAAAGGCATATTCAAGTATTACCAAATTGTCTGAACACACTGAACTCTTTAACATGAGATCAGAAGTTCTTGTAGCAGTGAATGACAAGATTACAATCCTCTGGGGTATGAAGGTATGTAGTTTAGTAGGTGGATATAAATGATTGGAGAACTCTGTTGCCTTCTTACCTTACCCTTTTGAAACAGTGTTACCCATCTACCAACATACACGTACATCACATCACATCCCAGAAGATAGTAATCTTGACACTTGACGAGAATTTAGTAGAGACTGTTCTAATAATAACAAGAAATAATCTCTCACACAGTTTATGACAATAAACACTGGTACCAACTAAACATGTGCGTCCATTTTATTTTGCATTATTTTTAAAGAGAAATGTTTTGAGGAGTAAGCACTGTGCAAATGTTTTGTGTACAGTTCTAACTTAGAATTATAAGTTACAACTCTGAATAATATCATTACTAAGTTTCTAAACTCTGTCAGTCATCTGTTTGGAATGCCAGACAATGGGCAGATTCATGAAACTTGTAATCATGAGTATAATATACTATTGTTCAAACCTTTTAGAACTGATCTGGGTAACAGTGTTAGCAGTTGTGGATTTATATCTGACCACTTACATGAAATGTAGTGTTGCTAGGTTGATGTGGGATGTTGCATTGTACCCAAGACAGTTATGTCTTGACATTACCTGTTGTTTTGATACATTGAGACTAGCTGTCATTGTACTGACTATTTATTTCATGGTCTAGCAATTCTGATAGAAGATAGTATTCCTTTCAGACCCATATATGTATTTAGTGGAGTGATGGTTTTCTGAACAGTGCAGTAAATGAGATAATGTATGAAGCAGTGCTTTTCATCTCCTTTCGTTTAGTTTCCATTCCTCCCCCCCCCCCAAAAAAAATTGTCACCTCTTCCTCGTTTTCCATCCCACCATTTACTGAGAGGGTTGACATAGCAACACTGCTCTTGGGAGGTGCTCTGTAAGAATCTCAGCTGGGACACAACCTGAGTCCCTTGAATAAACTATGATCAGTTCCTTCTGAATCCAATACATAGGTTATACTGCCATTCCATGTTATATAGTCTGAGGTTCTCATGACATCATAAAGCAACCCACTAACTCTTCTCCTTCTGTTCCCCTCATTTCTGTTATCTTCTCCCTTTTCTACTTCATCTTGTTCTGCTCCTTTTATTCTTCTTAAGTAATCAGGTCATCGCAATTGTGGTTCACAGTCTGAATGGGATATTCATCGGCTTCGGCTTTGATTCTGGTTTTTGTTACAAGACTATATTTTCTGATGCTGAGGTCACACAGAATTGACTGAGATATGGTATGGTATGATTATTACAATTTTTCAGGTCTGAAGAGAATCCCATTATCATCCATACCATTATCTCATTACTGCAGTCTTTCTTGAAGTGTTCCAATCACATTTTGCCTAGTATCTGATTCAGAATTGACTGAGACACATTGAGGTATTATAGCCAGATACCGAGTTTTGAAGCCACATACTGCCTCCATTTTGGGGGGCTGAGGTATGTAGGTTAAGCAGCAGGCTTCGATATTTGGGCAGGTTGTAACGAAATCTGGGTACTGAAACCCATGGCAAATTGTCAAGAATGGAGCATGAACAGGGCCA